TGAATTTGCTACAACATTGCTTCTGCACTATGCCTTTGCTTCCTAGCCTTGAGGCATGTGGGATCCCAGCTCCCCAATCAGGGAATGAACCCACACCCCTCACATAGGAAGGCGAAGTCTCAACCACTGAACTACCAGGGAAGCCCCTCTTCTTACTATTTTTAACCATTTTTTGGGGGGACAGTGCCATGCAGCTTGCAGGATCTTAGTTCCCCTGACTGGGATCAAACCTGGGCTGTGGCTCTGAGGGTGCCAAGTCCTAACCATTGAACCACCAAGGAGTTCCCAGGTCAAGTGTTCTTAGAGTTGACATCAAAATCATGATCCATAAAAGGGAAAAACTGATAAACTGTACGTCATCAAAATTAAGGAGGCTTGTTTGGTGAAAGACTTTGTTAAGAGGATGAAAAAATAAGCTACAGAATGGACAAAAATATTGGCAAACCACATATCTGACAAACAACGACTATTTAGAATACATAAAGCATGTTCAAAACAGCTGAAAAAACAATCTGATTAGAAAGTGGACAAAAGATATTGAAGAGACATTTCACTAAGAAATACAGATGTCAAACAAGTCCATACAAAGATGTTCAATGTCATTAGCAATTAGGGAAATGCAAATTAAAATCACAAGATATTACTTGACACCAGAACAGCTAAGGTAAAAAACAGTGATAACATCAAATTTATGAGAATGTGGAAAAACTGGATCATTCATACATTGCTGGTGGGAATGTGAAATGGTACAGTCATTCTGGAAAACAATTTGTGAGTTTTTTAAAAAGCTAAACATGCAAATACTTTATAACCTAGCAATTGTACCCCTGGGCATTTATCCCAGAGAATAAAGACATGTTCACACAAAAATCTGCAAATGAATGCCTGTAGCAGTTCATAAGAGCCAACACTGGAAACAACCTGGGTGTCCTTAACATGTGACTAGTTAAATAAACTGAGGTACATTTACATCACAGAATACTACTCGGCAACAGTAAGAAATATTGATATGATATGCATATACTCAAATATATGCATATATGCGTATACTCAACAATCTAGATAAATCTCTAGAGAATCATTCTGAGTGGAAAAAGTCAATTTTAGAAAGTTACTATTATATGATTCCATTAAGATAACATTTTTGAAATGACAAAACTATAGAAATGGAGAATAAATTACTAGTTACCAGGGATTAAAGAAGGGGTAGAAGTGAGAGGGGCAAGTGGCTGGCTATAAAAGGGCAACATGAGGGATTCTCAGGAGGTGATGGAAATGTTCTGTATGGTGACTGCATTATGTCAATATCCTGGTCTTGATGTCATACTATACTTCTGCAACATGTTACCATTAGGGGAATGTGGTAAAGGGTACATAGTATCTCTCAGTATTATTTCTTACAATTGCATATGAATCTGCAATTATCTTTCTTTTTTTTTTTTTTAGCTTTTTCTGGTAATTATCTTTAAATTAAAATACATGATTAAAAAGTCAGTAAGCAAGTATATCCTGTCCCACTTCAGGCAAATAATAATAGTTGTCATCAGAGGCAGATTTACCATAAAGCTAAAGGTAAGCTTCAGGGCCCACCTGCACAGACTCTGGAGTCCTGGAAGTTATTAGGGACCAGAGTGTTCTAATTGAGGAGAAGACAGACTGCAGAAGGAAGGCTTTCTGATAAATTGCCTAGAGGTTTCAGAAGAAAGGGACCTAAATTTCCAAGATTCCATAATTGTTTTTTCATTAAAAAAAAAATATATATATATATATATATTGAGAACCTAATTTTATTTATTTATTTTTTGGCTCTGCTGGGTCTTCGTTGGTCTGTGATCTTTCTCTAGTTGCAGTGAGAGTGGACTACTCTCCAGTTGTGTGTGGGCTTCTCATTGTGGTGGCTTGTTGCAGAGCATGGGCTCTAGAGCACTTGGGCTTCAGTAGTTGCTGCATGTGGGCTCAGTAGGTGCAACTCCAAGGCTGCACAGTGTGGGCTCAGCAGTTGTGAAGGCTGGGCTTAGTTGCTCTGCAGCATATGGGACCTTCCTGGACCAGGGAATGAACCTGTGTCTCCTGCACTGGCAGACAGATTCATTACCAATGAGCCGCCAGGGAAGCCCTGAGTACCTAATTTTAATGTGTACCTAACTTTAGAAGGTCTAAACAAGTACTTACAAAAGCTTCAGGCCCCACAAGATTTAGCTCAGCCCCTCCTTACCACAGCATGGTGACTGAAGAACAATGGTTCTAATTCAAATCGTGGTTATTCTCAAGGTGTGTAACCTTAGTTTCTCTAAGCAGTTTCTTCATCTGTAAAATAGGGATGACAAATGGAATACTGCCTGCCATTGTTGTTCATTTGGACTGCAGCTCACCAGGCTTTCCTATCCTTCACTATCTCCTGGAGTTTGCTCAAACTCATGTCTATTGAGATGGTGATGCCATCTAACCATCTCATTCTCTGTCACCCCCTTCTCCTCCTGCCCTCAATCTTTCCCAGCATCAGGGTCTTTTCAAAGTATGTCACAGTCATCAGCGATTGGCGACTTGCAGCCACCACAGAAAGTAGTGAGCCCTGGGGGAACTCATAAAGGAAACAAGAAGAATACCTGCCGTCCAGCAGCCACCAGACTGCAGCCATTCTCTAAGGTGAACCCTGAGGAAACTCAGGATGTAAAAGCACAGGATGTGAGTGAAAGTTGCTCAGTCTAGTCTGACTCTGTGATTCCATGGATCAGACTGCAGCCATTCTCTAAGGTGAACCCTGAGGAAACTCAGGATGTAAAAGCACAGGATGTGAGTGAAAGTTGCTCAGTCTTGTCTGACTCTGTGATCCCATGGATCAGACTGCAGCCATTCTCTAAGGTGAACCCTGAGGAAACTCAGGATGTAAAAGCACAGGATGTGAGTGAAAGTTGCTCAGTCTAGTCTGACTCTGTGATTCCATGGATCAGACTGCAGCCATTCTCTAAGGTGAACCCTGAGGAAACTCAGGATGTAAAAGCACAGGATGTGAGTGAAAGTTGCTCAGTCTTGTCTGACTCTGTGATCCCATGGATTGTAGTTGCCAGGTGCCTCTGTCCATGGGATTTCCCAGGCAAGAATACTAGAGTGGGCTGCCATTCCCTTCTCCAAGGGATCTTCCCAACCCAGGGATCCAACTCAGGTATCCTGCATTGCAGGCTGATTCTTCACTGTCTGAACCATCAAGGAAGCCCGAAAGCACAGGATACTGGCCCCAGAGAGCTGAGGTGCAGATCAAAGGACTAATTTCACTGAGCCCAGAATCTTGCATCTTCCCATACATAGAAAAGCACTAAATTCCTTAATTTGTGATTTCTGGCTTTCTTCAATTATTTCTACAATAATTTTTAGGGCTTCCCTGGGCTCAGACTGTAAAGACTCTGCCTGCAATGTGGGAGACCCAGGTTCAAATGCTGGGTTGGGAAGATCTCCTGGAGAAAGAAATGGCAACCCACTCCAGTACTCTTGCTGGGAAATCCCATGGACAGAAGAGACTGGCAGGCTACAGTCCAAGGAGTTGCAGAGAGTAGGACACGACTGAATGACTAATACTTTCACTTTAGATGTTTCTGACTACTTGCTCTGTGTTGCAAAACTTCTATATATGGAAGTTCCCCCTTGCCTCCTCTGAGCAGTTCCCTTAGGGTTACTTGAGATTCTGCTTCCTGGGCTTGATGTCCTAAAAATTTCCACCAAACAAAACTTAACTCTCAACTTTAGGTTGTGAGCAGTTTTTTTAGTGTACAGGGACAATAATAAACCTGCCTCACAGTTGTGAGCATTCAGTTCAGTTCAGTCGCTCAGTCGTGTCTGACTCTTTGCGATCCCACGGACTGCAGCATGCCAGGCCTCCCTGTCCATCACCAACTCCCAGAGCCTACCCAAACTCATGTCCACTGGGTCAGTGATGACATCCAACTGTCGCATCCTCTGTCGTCCCTTCTGCCTTCAATCTTTCCCAGCATCAGGGTCTTTTCAAATGAGTCAGTTTTTCACATCAGGTGGCCAAAATATTGGAGTTTCAGCTTCAGCATCAGTCTTTCCAATGAATATTCAGGACTGATTTCCTTTAGGATGGACAGGTTGGATCTCCTTGCAGTCCAAGGGACTCTCAAGAGTCTTCTTCAACACCACAGTTCAAAAGTATCAATTCTTCAGCGCTCAGCTTTCTTTATTAAATGATTGTAACTCAGAAACTTAGAGGTACCTGGCAATAAATGCTAGGTGTATACCCCTTACTAGTGAGTACCTAGGTTGTGCTTGGCATTATATCGATAAATTTAAGCACATTAATTTATCTAACTCTCAGAATTGCCAAAATACTAATATAGTTTCGTTATGAAGTAATTGACGTTTTAAGAGACTGAGCCTATAGGAAGACTGAGTGTATAGGATTAGGCCTGATTCCAAAGGCACTTTGCTGCCAGCACGGTTTTGCCTAGGAAAGGAAGGTAGCTTTCTTCGAGACACCCCAGACCTAAAAATCAAGTCCCCTGGGAGCTTTCACTGCCTAAGCCGACCACGTGGTAGGGAGTCCAGACGGAAAAACTGCCCCCACCCTCGGCGGGTGGGGATGGGGGAAGAGGAGCGACATCTAACTCCGACCTCCTCTCCAGCTCTGTCACGTACTAAGACCCCCTTTCCCAGCCTTCTGCACACAGGCGCAAGTCCTTCGTAGCCCCATCTGAAGTAAACCATCACTTCAGTTGCTTCCCAGGCAGCACAACAGCCTCTCCAACGCGCCAGTGGACCCGAACGCAAGCCCTGGCCCCAAGCACAAAAACCTAGCTGGTCCTCTTGCCCCACCCACCTCGCCCAACCGCTCCCGCCACCGCGGACCCCGCCCTCCCTCCTAAGTCCCACCTCCTCGCTGATCCGTTTAGCCAACCCACCTCTACAACCCCGGCCTCTCCGCGACCGCTGGGCTAGGCCCGCCCCCATTTTTGAGGCGCGAGCGCCGAACGCATCGAACGCAGCCAATGGGTGGTGCGGTGGCGGCACCGCGGGAGGTTCGATTGACCGGGCCTGGCGGGTCCCGGGAGTCCTGGCGGCTGTTAACGCGCGCTTTGGGTAGAGGAAGGTTAAGCCGCAGTGCTTGGGATTCAGCTCTGCGGCTCGTTCCAGCCTTGCCTGGGATTCCCCTCCCAAGCCCGGGTCTTCTGCGTGTCTTGCCTGGACTCCTGCTCGGCCTCCCTTAGGCCCGCATCCGCACTTCGACCTGGGAAATCCCTTCTCGGGACTCGCCCTCCCCAGGCCTCAGATTTTCACCCCCCCCGCCCCGCGCTGCTATCCGCTGCCTTCAGGTCCATCTGGGGCCGTTATCCCGACTCCCCTCTGCCCAGTCTGGCCGTCTCTTCCCCTGTCTCTTCCCCCCATCCTAGACCTCTACCCACTTGTGATTGGGTACTTCCTTTTTGCCCTTCTCTCCCGCCTTGGCTACCTGGAGACCGACACTCTTCATACTTCGGGCCCAAACCTCAGCCCCTGGCTGTATTCCTTCCATCCCTGCTCCTTTAATTAGCCCATCCTCTCAAAAGAGTAGCAGCCCGCTCTTTATTAGGCTGGTTGTACATTCTCAGCTGCTGGGTGCCTTTGACCTTTGCCTAATGGGTACTTGACATTTTATATTCCTGGGTCCAGGATGGTAAGTATGGGCCTATGGGAGACTGTGGCTAGCCCTATGACTGGGTCTAATGGACTGTTTCCCTCCTCTTCTTACAGAGGAGGAGCTTAGCTCCCAGCCAGCTGGCCAAAAGAAAACCAGAAGATGGACCCTCTGATGATGACGACTGGCAGCCTGGAGCAGTGGTGAGTACTCTGCCCTCAAGGGGATAGGGGACATTGGGTTGCAGGGCCGTTTAGGCGGAGAGAAATCCTAGACTTGGTTTCTGGGGTTTCATGAAATGTACCCTGTCACCTCCAGAAGCCTTTCAGTGCTTACTGTTCTTTTAGTGAGTGCTTACTATGTGTCAGGCATCGAACTGGATAAATAAAATCTTTGTCCTCAAGGTACTCCCTAAAAGCTAGTATGCCTCAGTTTTTCTGATAGGAAGGGGTGTTCCAAAGCAAAGAGCTGATTGGGTTGGACCCTTTGGTTACCTTGGGAAAAAAGAGGAGGAGGCCCCAGCAGCAACTAGCAGCTCTTTTTCTCTTTGTCACCTGCCCAGTGTCACAGAACAGTAGAGTGCACTGGGCCTACGGTAGAATCTGAGCTTCCTTGGGCCTTGATTGGAGGGGTGGTGCCCTTCCAGTCCCTGCAGATAATCAAGGGCACCACATTCGACTTTGGACTGAGCCCTGCCTTGGAGGCTTTTTGGGGCTAGCTGTGGGCAGGACCTATGTAACCTAAATCAGTAGGATGATGATGTAGCATGAACTTCAGAGAAAGCAATTCAAGAAGCAGTGGTTTGGTCATTGGAACTTTGGAGGAAGGGATTAGCTAAGAAATACCTAGAAGGCAGTTTGGGGTGGTTGCAACATGTGAGTGAAAGCCCATAGAGAGAGTGGAAGGGGTCTGGTGTTTGTTTCAGCTGTGTCTTGTAGCTTCAGATACCTTGGCAAGCTGCTACAAGTGGATTCTTGCCTGATGGCTCAGTGGGGCTCGTTCTGTAGCTGCACTGCTGGTGTGCAGGCTGCCTTGGCTGCCCCTTGTCACTTACATGGGTCTCAGACTTGAACTTGGGGCAGCACTTGGTGTTGTCTGCTCCTGGTTGCTCCAGAAAATGCTTTCAGTGCTGGTGTTCTCACAGACATGGTGGGGACTGACGAGAGGGGCCTGGGAGTTGGGAGCAGCTCTACTCTTGGCCTCCATTGGTAAACCCTGGGAGGAAAGCAAAGAGTCACTCAGTCATTCCTTGGGGCTTTTGGAGTGAAGATTTGTGAGCAGCTTGACAGTGCTACTGATGGACTTGCCGGCCACAGGCCCACTTCATTCACTTCCATTGCCCCTGATAGCTCAGTTGGTAAAGAATCCGCCTGCAATGCCAGTTTAATTCCTGGGTTGGGAAGATCCCCTGGAGAAGGGAATGGCTACCCACTCCAGTATTCTGGCCTGGAGAATTCCATGGACTGTATAGTCCATGGGAAGGCAGAGTTGGACAGGACTGAGCGACTTTTACTTTTCACTGCCCCTCAAATTTGGCAAGTTCTTTAACCTCACTAAGCTCCACTGTTCTCACCTGTTACATCAGGATGTAAACATGTATTCTAGGATTACTGTGAAGATGATCTACGATAACACATGTGAAGAATTTAGCACAGTGCTTCACGCTTAATGAGCATTTTAAATATTAGTTGTCATTGTGGCTAACTCCGTATCATCCAGACTTCATCTTCCCCAATTCTCTCTCCTAGACTCCTAAGAAACCTAAGAAATCCAGCTGTGAGACCCAGAGCCAGGAGTGTTTCCTGTCTCCTTTTCGGAAACCTTTGACTCAGCTAACGAATCGACCACCCTGTCTGGACAGCAGTCAACATGTAAGCCCGAGCTATAACCTGTCAATGTCTGTGTTTGCCCTCTTTTGTCTAGGGAGGCTCCCTGAGTCCTCACACAGTAGCCAGCAGATGCTTTAGTGGGAGCTTTCGGCCTCGCCACAGCTCCCAGGGCCTGGAAAAGGCCTGACCTCTTTTCTTAGAGATTTCCTTAGTGTGCCTGACTTGGAATTCCTCTTGTTGTAGCTACTTGGGCACCAGCTCTCAGGTGGCTCAGACTGGTGACGACAACGAGGTGCAGAGAGCGAAGACGTCCCCATTTAGGCAGGGTGTTGGAACCCGTCAGAGAACTGTCTCTGATTTTGCATAATGGCTTTTAAGAAGTACCAGAGCCTATAGCTTTCACTGTATCCTTTAGTAAAATCAAAAGTAATCATCACCATGGCAGGTTATGTGCATTATCTCATGTAACTCATTTTTTTAAGATAAGGAAGCTGACTCCTAGAGGGGTTAAATAATTTGCTTAAAGTTACAAAATTGTCAGATCTGCCTAGTTCCATCCAAAGCTTTTTCCTCTAAACCGTCTGAGGGACACCAAGACACAGCTCCAAAAACCCTTGGAATTTAAATGATAAGAGGGATCAAGATGTCTTCTGTTATTCCTAATGAACCCCTTTCAGCCACACCTGAATTTACTAATGAGATGACTTTGGAAAGCGCGTATCTTTGGGACTGGTTGCCAGGGGAACCAACCCGCCAATGTTTAATCAGTCCTACCTGTGTCAAAAGCCTCCTTAGAAACACAAAAGGTTTGGGAGGGTTTGGAGAACTTCCCGCTTAGTGAGCTGGAAGTCAGGAAGAGCCACACCCGAAGCTCCTCTGGGCCAGAAGCTCCAGTGTTCATTGCTCTTCCAGACCTCCCTCTGTGTGTCTGTTCATCTGGCTATTCATTCATATCTTTTAATATTCTTTGTGATAAATCAGTAATCTAGTAAGTAAACTTTATCTGAGTACTCTGAACCAGCTAGTGAATTAATCTAAGGAAGGGGTTGTGGTAACATTTGATTTGTAGCTTGTGGTAACATTTGATTTATAGCTTGTGGTCAGAGCCTTTCAAGACTGCCTGCAATGCAGGAAACTCGGGTTCTATCCCAGGGTTGGGAAAATCCCCCCCAGTATTGCCTGGAAAATCCCATGGACAGAGGAGCCTGGCAGGCTACAGTCCATGGGGTCGCAAAGAGCTGATTGAGCGACTAACACTTTCACTTTGTGGTCAGAAGCACCTAGACTTGAGATTTGCTTCTGATGCTTTCTCCTGGAACATAGTGTTGGAATTAAGGTGTAGGGAACCCAAGTGGAAACGAAGATTTGCTTGACGTGTGGAAAACCCACATGTCAGGTGTCAGAAATAGTGTAGTATTGAGAATAGAGGCGACGCAAGATTGTTTTTTTAATTAATTTTGATTGGAGTATAGTTGCTTTACAATGTTGTGTTAATTTCTGCTGTGCAGCAAAGTGAATCAGCCATACGTGTATGTGTGTATATATCTCCCCTCTTTTTTGGATTTCCTTCCCATTTGGGTCACCACAGAGCACTGAATAGAGTTCCCTAAGCTATACAGTAGATTCTCATTAGTTATTTATTTTATACATAGTATCAGGAGTGTATATATGTCAATCCCAATTCATCCCACCCTCTCCCTTTCCCCTTTGGTGTCCATGCATTTGTTCTCTACTTCTGTGTCTCTGTTTTGCAGATAAGATCATCTATACCATTTTTCTAGATCCCACTTATATACATTAATACATGATACTTGTTTTTCTCTTTCTGGCTTACTTCGTTTATTTATAACAATCTCTAGGTCCATGTGTCTACAAATGACCCAATTTCATTCCTTTTATGGCTAGTTCCATTGTGGACGAACACACACACACACATACATACTATCTATCCTTTATCCATTCCTCTGTTGATGAACATTTAGGTTACTTCCGTGTTCTGGCTATTGTAAGTAGTGCTGCAGTGAACATTGGAATTCATCAGTCTTTTTTTTTTTTCAGTCTTTTTTTTTTATAAAATAAGCAACAAGGACATGCAACACAAGGAAGTATAGTCATTATTTTGTAATAACTTTATTTTTTGCTTTAGAGAGTTGATATTTCATTTTTTAAATTTTTATTGGCGTATAGTTGATTTACAGTGTTGTGTGTGTTTCAGGTGTGAGCTTCCCAGGTGATTCAGTGGTGAGCAATCTGCCTACTAATGCAGGAGATGTTCCATCTCTGGGTCGGGAAGATCCCCTGGAGAAGGAAATGGCAACCCACTCCAGTATTCTTGCCTGGGAAATCCCATGGACAGAGGAGTCTGGCAGGCTCTGGTCCATGGGTTCACAGAGAGTCAGACACAACTGACCACTACATGTGTCTTTTTAAATTATGGTTTTCTCTGAATATAGGTCCAGTAGTGAGATTGCTGTTCATATGCTAGTTCTATTTTGAGTTTTTTAAGGAACCTCCGTACTGTTCTCCATAGTGTTTGTACCAGTTTATATTCCCAAAAACAGTGCAAGAGGACTCCAGTCTCTCTTCAGCATTTGTTGTTTGTAGATTTTATTAATGATGGCCATTTTGATGAGTATGAGTTGATACCTCATTGTAGTTTTGATTTGCATTCCTTTAATAATTATGTTGAGCATCTTTTCATGTGTTTGTTTGGTCATCTGTATGGTTTCTTTGGAGAAATGTCTATTTAGGTCTTCTGCCCATTTTTTTGATTGGGTTGTTTTTTTGATACTGAGCTGCATGAGCTGTTTGTATATTTTGGAGATTCATCCTTTTTCAGTTTCTTCAGTTGCAAATATTTCCTCCTATTCTGAGGGTTGTCTTTTTGTCTTGTTTGTGGTTTCCTTTACTGTGCAAAAGCTTTTACGTTTAATTAGGTCTCATTTGTTTATTTTTATTTTCATTAGGAGGTGCATCAAAAAAGATTAGAATGTTTTGCCTATGTTTTCCTCTAAGAGTTTTATTGTGTATGGCCTTATGCTACTGCTAAGTCACGTCAGTCGTGTCCGACTCTGTGCGACCCCATCCCTGGGATTCTCCAGGCAAGAACACTGGAGTGGGTTGCCATTTCCTTCTCCCATGCATAAAAGTGAAAAGTGAAAGTGAAGTTGCTCAGTCATGTCTGACTCTTCGAGACCCCATGGACTGCAGCCTACCAGGCTCCTCCATCCATGGGATTTTCCAGGCAAGAGTACTGGAGTGGGGTGCCATATGGCCTTATATTCAGGCGTTTAACCCATTTTGAGTTTATTTTTGTGTATGGTGTTAGGAAGTGTTCTAATTTCATTCTTCTACACATAGCTGTCCAGTTTTCATAGCACCATTTACTGAAGTCTTTTCTCTCGTATTTTCTTGCTGCTTTTGTCATAGATAAGATGACCATAGGTGTGTGGGTTTATATCTGGGCTGTCTGTCCTTTTCCATTGGTCTTTATTTTTGTTTTTGAGCCAGTATCTTGATTACTGTAATTTTGTAGTATAGTCTGAAGTCAGGGAGCTTGATTCCTCCAGCTTCATTTTTGTTTCTCCAGATTGCTTTGGTTATTCAAGATCTTTTCTATTTCCATATAAATTGTAAAATTTTCTTTTCTAGTTCTGTGGAAAATGCCATTGGTAATTTGATAGGAATTGCACTGAATCTACAGATTCCTTTGGGTAGTATACTCATTTATGTTTACACAAAATTGGTTCTTCCAATCCAAGAAATTGGGATATCTCCATCTGTTTGTATCTTTGATTTCTTTCATCAGCATCTTACACTTTTCTGCATACAGGCCTTTTGCCTCTGTCAGTCAGTTCAGTCGCTCAGTCGTGTCTAACTCTTTGTGACCCCATGGACTGCAGCATGCCAGGCCTCCCTGTCCATCACCAACTCCCAGAGTTTACTCAAACTCATGTCCATTGAGTTGGTGATGCCATCCAACCATCTCATCCTCTGCTGTCTCCTTCTCCTCCTGCCTTCAATCTTTCCCAGCATCAGGGTCTTTTCTAATGAGTTGCTTCTTTGTATCAGGGGCCAGAGTATTGGAGCTTCAGCTTTAGCATCAGTTCTTCCAATGTATATTCAGGACTGATTTCCTTTAGAATTGATTGGTTTGATCTCCTTGCAGTCCAAGGGACTCTCAAGAGTCTTCTCCAATACCACAGTTCAGAAGCATCAATTCTTTGGTGCTCAGCTTTCTTTATAGTCCCAACTCACACATCCATACATGACTATTGGAAAAACCATAGCTTTGACTAGGTGGACCTCTGTCAGCAAAATAATGTTTCTGCTTTTTAATATGCTGTCTAGGTTGGTCATAGCTTTTCTTCTAAGGAGTAAACGTCTTTTAATTTCATGGCTGCAGTCTCCATCTGCAGTGATTTTGGAGCCCAAGAAAATAAAGTCTGTCACTGTTTCCATTGTTTCCCCATCTATTTTTCATGAAGTGATGGGACCAGCTGCTGTGATCTTAGTTTTCTGAATGTTGAGCTTTAAGCCAACTCTTTCACTCTCCTCTTTTACTTTCATCAAGAGACTCTTTAGTTCTTCTTCATTTTCTGCCATAAGGGTGGTGTCATCTGCGTATCTGAGGTTATTGATGTTTCTCCCGGCAATCTTGCTTCCAGCTTGTGCTTCATCCAGCTGGGCATTTTGCATGATGTACTTTGCATATAAGTTAAATAAGCAGGGCCTTAGGGCCTTTGCCTCTGTAGGTGGATTTTTTTTTTTTTTTTTACCTGTGCTGGATCTTTGTTGCTGCCCACAGGCTTTCTCTAGTTGTGGTAAGCAGGTGCTGCTCTGTAGTTTCTATGAGTGGGTTTCTCATTGCGGTGGCTCCTCTTGTTGGGGAGCATGGGCTCTAGGGTGCAAGGGCTTCAGTAGTTGTGACTGCAGGCTACTAGTACTGATTCTTCAGCATGTGGAATCTTCCCAGACCAGGGATCAAATCCATGTCCCCTGCACTGGCAGGTGGATTCTTAACCAATGGACCACCAAGGATGTCCTGTAGCAAGGTTTATTCCTAGGTGTTTTATTGTTTTTCTTGCAATGGTAGAGACACAGGATTGTGTTTTTCCTTTATAGGGACATTTTGAAGGGAAAATGGGAATATGATAGGAATGTGTAATGGAGGTTATTTATGCATTCAGAAAACATTTTACATACTATTTGATGAATACAGAAATATAAAATGTATAATGTGTATAAGGTATAAACCGAAATAACACCTGTGAACCCACCACCCAGCGCTAGAACATCATCAGTCATAATTCTTTTCCCATTCCCAGAGGTACCACCATCCTAACTATGTTCATCATCCCTTGCTTTTTGTGATCGTTTTACCATATGTATATAATTCACTAAATTAATATTGTTTAATTGTTTCTTGAGCTTAGAAAAGTAGTCCTCTGGAGCTGTTTTAATTCAGGATTTATCTTATGAGATAAGTGTGAGGGTGGTGAGAGTTTGCAAACAAGAGGCCTAACAGTCTGGAGGCTGGTGGAGACTGGAATCTGAGGGACATGCTGATTAGGTCGTGTCCTGAAGAATGTGGGGAGTTTGCCAGGTGAAGAGAGCAGGGAATGTTCCAGGTAAAGGGAACAGCCTGTGTGAAAGCTGTGGAGGAAGGATCCCCAAAGGAAGAAAATGCTTTAGGACTACAGAAGTCAGTGCAGACCTGGGGGCAGACTTTAGTCTTAGACACAATGAGTTTTAAGTCCTGTGGGTTGTCTAGGTTTGCACATGTGGATGTGGTACCTAGGAGGGTGTTATGGACTGGAAATAGATTTGAGGTGATTGGCATAGAGTTTGACACCTCCAAAAAGTGTATTGGCATGTCTATGTGAATGTATAGTCAGAAGAACTTAGGGTCAAACCTGAGAAACACTGACTTTTAAAGGGATTGGGCAGAAGAGGCGGAGCCTGTTAGGCGACTGAGTGTAAAGTCCCAGAAAGACAAAATAGTGGGATAATGGTGTCTTGGAAGTCAAAAGCAGAGACTATTTGAGAGGGAGTGACCAGCTTTGTCTAGTAAGATAGGGTAGAAAAATATCTCTTGGATTTAAGGTCTTGTAGGCCACTGGTGACCTTGGGCAGAATCATTTCAGAAGATAGGAGGAGTGGGAGATAAGGGGAAACAGACTACTTTTTCTAGAAGTTTGAAGGGGAGGAGATATGAGGTTGAAGGGGAGGAGATATGAGGTCAAAAGACATTTTGTTTTTAAGATAGGAGAGAGTTAAGCATGTCTTAAATGCTGGTGAGAAAGAGCTGGTAGAAGAAACTTGAGATATAGAAAGATCAGGCAGCCCTGATAGAATGACTGTCTGTGGAAGAAGGAAGCTTTGACCTTGGGGAGGAGGAAGAATGTTCTCCCTCTTCTATCATCTGGAGGAAAGGGTGGTGTGGATTTTCATTAAACAAACCGAGTGAGAGCATGCTTTCTCCCCTGCCTCTGTCAGAGTCTAATGACTATTCCCAGGCCAGATTCTTGGAAGCTGCATTGCAAGTCTTGCAGGCTGTGTGTGCCCTCAGATGGTTTTAGCCAGGGGTCCTCACCTCCTTCCACAGTAGTTCCACAAGCCTGCACTTCTACCTGCAGAACTCACGGTTCCTGGGTTTTACTGAAGGTCTTTTTAAATTTGGAGCATAAATTCTTGGCTACTTAGAGCTTTAATACTAGCCTCTTACATTGATAATCTTGAAAATAATATCTCAGTTTCAGAATTAAAAGCAGAATTGATGCCAAGTTAGGGAAGAAATTGAGTCCATCTTTTTCCTTTTCCGCTTCTTTGACTTAATGGTAGCTTTTTGTTAGCATCTTTCATGTATAAGTTTCTCATTATCCTTTCTTTGATAATTAAAAATAATCAAAAGATTTTATTCAGCTGCAAAGAAATATGCAAATAAAGAATTGGAGCCTTTCTCCAACACTGGCCTTGTGTTATTTAAGCGTGGTGATGAAGTTCAGTTCTCCACATTTCTTTTCTATCTTGCAATGCATTGCCATAATGAATTTACAGTCTTCTTATTTAAAGTACATTGAGTTTCTAGAATTTAATTTATAACCTATACAGGTGGATCAGAATAAAAAGATAAAAATTTCAGGGCAATTGATTTTTTTTTTCTCCCCCTTATTAAACTGTGTTTTTGCTAGAAGGGAGTATTTTTCATTACTTTCCCACTAATGTATTCCATTAAGACTGCCTTCAGCGTTTCTGCTCTTGTTTTCTCCTTGCTCTCTTGGCTAACTCTTTATTAATTTTGTTGAGGTTCACAGGCTATTGTAATTGCCTAGAGGGCTCAGGTGTCTATAGATGAGAACTTAGATGGGAGTTGTCAGTTAGCTCAGGAGCTGACACTGTGGACTCCCGTGCCTCCTCCTGCCCCAGCCCAGTGCTGATTCCAGGCTGAAGTGATGGCACAGAGACTTCCTGTCATCCTTGTCCCCGGCTTTTTTGGTGATTGGCTTGCCCCCTCTCTCATATCCTCTTGGCTCATGTTTTCCCCTCTCTTGTGCCTTTCCATGCAGGAAGCTGTTGACTCTGGGCTGGTCCACATGCTATACTCAAATAGGTTGGGTTAGGAAGCCATATTGCCCATCTGTTACAAATAAAGGCCCTGAAATCAGGAAAGTCTTACAGATGTCATGGTTGTGTGACTTGGGAAACCACTCAGCCTCAATTTGCTCATCTGTAAAATAGGGGTGCCAGTAATATAGAGACTTCAAAGAGCTATTAATGAGGATTGGTAACATGAATGCAAGGACTTAGCACTGCATCTGACATACATTATTAGTCATCATCATTACTGTCATTTTTGTTGTTATCAACATTATTTTACTGATACTACTGCTCCTTTTTCCCCTGTGACCACTACTCTTTGAAGGGCTGTTTAGTTCCCGAGGAGGCTGATGTGAAAATTGATATGGGAATTAGATGCAGTAAGCAGGATTGATCAGAGATTACAAAAGAAGTGTGAGCTATGCTTGGAAAGATATAGCCTTATAGGACAGTGGTTGAATCTAGACTTGAGAGTTTTATTAGTACTGGGATCGGGTCAGTTTGTGGTGCTTTCTTAAGGCACTGCAGCTTAGGGAAAAGTTATGTATGCTTTCTTGGCATGATCTTTCATGAGCTAAAGGTTCTGAGTCTTGTGGTTAACCAAGGCCAGGTATTTGCTTTGGCACTGCCTTGTCCCTGGGGATTTGTGGAACTTCATGCAAAGCCTCAAAGATGAAAGCCATTTTACAAAACCTAATAATTTAATATGGAGCACATCTTCTGTTCTAGATGCATCTGAATGAGATGTAGTCAAACTACAGTGGTCTGAATATATTATGATGCTTACCTGGGCATTTTTGACTGTGTTTATAAAAATATCCCATAACATCTCCAAGCAGTCCTGAATCCTTGTTTCTTCTTTTTTTAGGAAGCATTTATTCGAAGCATTTTGTCAAAGCCTTTCAAAATCCCCATTCCAAATTATCAAGGTAAAAGTGGAGACTCTTCTGTTTCTTAAATTAGTCATGTGTGAATATGCCCAAATAGATAAAAACATCTGCTTTTGTAAGTACAAGCTTACCTTGGAGTTAAAGATGCCTGTCCAGTGATGACTATGTGGGGGTCACTCTCCTGGGGCCTGCATGAGGTCTGTGTTTGATAGGGTCACCAAGACTAAGTGCCCCTCATCTTGGTGGGGATGTGCCAGTGTGTAGGAAGCTTCTGGTGGGCCAGGGTGGCTGATAGACCCAGGCTCCGTTCAATCCAAGTGAGTCCAGTAGCATTTCCTTTACAAGGTTGACTATGTTGGGGGTCTAGGTTCTGTAGGTTTCCCCCTCTGTACAAAGGGCAGAGCATTGTGCTCACTCGGGCTGGGGGGAGGAGGCAAACTCTTGAGCTTTCAGTCTTGAAAGGCTCCGTTAGGGTTTCAGATCTTTCCAGGGTTGTTTTGATCTAAGATGAAAGAGACCTGGCCCCCCCAGAAGCTTGTAGTTGAGTGGGAGAAGTAATATCTGAGGGAGGCTGGTTAATGGTTAGGTAGAGGTGCCCAAATTGCATCTGGAGAGAGGGGTACTGGGGGGAGAGGGTCATGTGGAAGCTTTGGAAAGGTTATGTGAAGGATAGGCATTTAACCTGAGCCGGCTGGAGCTCCTCAGCTTAGAGGCTTAAATGACAAATTGTTGGTTTCTAGGTCCTCTGGGCTCTCGGGCATTGGGCCTCAAACGGGCTGGGGTCCGCCGAGCCCTCCATGACCCCCTGGAAGAAGGTGCCTTGGTTCTGTATGAGCCTCCCCCACTGAGCGCCCATGACCAGCTGAAGCTTGACAGGTACGTGCACTGGTATTTCTTGAGCAGTTGTGGTCCCCTGTGAGCGCACAGAGCCTGGAGGGCAGAGAGTATTTTGGTGTGGTTTCACCCTGGGACCTGCATGTGTTTTCAGAGTGCTGTCATGACTGCGGTACCATCTAGAGAGTGAGTAGCTGGGGAGGAGAGTGCCTGGGGAAGAGTGTGTAGATATGTCCATTTGGTGGGTTTCCTCATCCTTTCCCACCAGGCTCACTCAGGGGAGCAGGGGACGTTCAGGTGATGACATAGGGAACCCAATGCCATCTCTCGCTTTCTCACCCTGGAGAGGAATTTGCTAATGCATGGTTTGATTGCACAGGCCAGAGAGGTCCTGTCTTAGGCAACTGCCTCTGGATCAATAGGACATAGCTTTCTGAGGGTGTGCCCATAGCTTTCTGAGGGTGTGCCGTTGCCGTGTCTGAGCTCTGTTTTCTGTGTTGTATTTTCTCAGGGAAAAACTTCCTGTTCATGTGGTTGTTGATCCTCTTCTGAGTAAGGTCTTGAGGCCTCATCAGAGAGAGGTAAATGGTGGTGGGGGTGAGGTTTGAGCTGGGGCAGCGGCTGGGCCTGAGAGCCTCTCATCCCGGAAGCTGCAGCAGTGGGGTGCCAAAGGGGGCTGAGAGCTGTTACTATTCCCCAGGGAGTAAAGTTCCTGTGGGAGTGTGTCACCAGTCGGCGCATCCCCGGGAGCCATGGCTGCATCATGGCTGATGAGATGGGCCTGGGCAAGACACTGCAGTGCATCACACTGATGTGGACGCTTCTGCGCCAGAGTCCAGACTGCAAGCCAGAAATCGACAAGGCAGTGGTGGTGTCGCCCTCCAGCCTAGTGAGGAACTGGTACAATGAAGTTGGGAAATGGCTTGGAGGGAGGATCCAACCTCTGGCCATCGATGGAGGCTCTAAGGACGAGATAGACCAAAAGCTGGGTAGGAGCCTTAACAAACATGACTGCACTCCTCCATACAACCTGCTCCTTTCTTAAGCGTATCCTCACTGATAACCGGGGTCGAGGGCAGGGAGTGGGTGGAGGATAAGAGAATTACCATGAAAAAGAGTTTAGTTGTTTCCAGGCTAAATTACAGAATCATCAAACTGGTTTCTTCTTTAGCATATTCTCAGACTTGCTGTCCTGACACCTTTTCTGTCGTAGAAGGATTTATGAACCAGCGTGGTGCCAGAGTGCCTTCTCCCATCCTCATCATTTCCTATGAGACTTTCCGCCTTCACGTTGGAGTCCTCCAGAAAGGGAGTGTTGGACTGGTCATATGTGATGAGGTACTTGACCTACTGCTGTTTGGGTGGTGGGAGAAAAGTCTGTCAGCGTCTTCTGACTGAAAAGTGCCATCTAAGGGCTGTGCTAGTTACTGGGAGATGCTGAGGACAGAACGTACTGCCTCAGAATCAGCAGATGAGGAGAGCCCAGGGTACCAATCTGCCAAAAGAGGGGTTAAGTAGTGCTTGGGATGCCAAGGAGAGTGAGGTGCTGTGGGCTGACTGATTTTGTTCCCTCTACACAGTTTTCCTAGACCAAGGGACTTTGAAGGCTGGGAGGGATTTGGATGGATGGAGAAACACAGTACAGGGTTTAGGGGAACAGGTTCTAGGTTCAGAGAAGTCTTTATTCAAATCTTGGCTGTTCTGCTTCATACCAGTAATATGACCTTGGACAAATTACTTAACTTCTCTGTGTCAGTAAAATGGGGTGATAATATCTGCCTTATGGGATTATTGTGAGGATTAAATGAAGGAAAGCTTTTATCACAGTGCCTGGTATGTCATAAGACCTTGGTAAATGTCAGCTCTGATTTTTATGTAGGCTGAGAGGACTCACGTGAACAGATGCACAGAGATAGGAAAGTCTGGTGCGGATAGTTCATACACACTATGAACCTGTGTTGACTCTCTGGGACTGAGGGAAATATAGCAGTTGTTGCTTTCTGGCCTTTTCCAGCACTGTGCATGAAGGGTGGTAGGGATGTTACTACTTAGAAAGGAGTGAGGGTGGCTGGGAGCTTCCTGGTATAAAGAATTTCCCAGGTCTAAAGGGGGCTTGGCTGCCCTGGGCCTGTTGATCTTGTTTACATCTTGGGGAAAGTCAGGGCATTCCCTGGGGCTTTAGTGGAGGGGTGGCTGGAAGTCTTGGCCCCATCTTTAACTGATGGCAGGCTTGACGGTGCTTTGGGGACTATAGATTACCCTAGTATCAGGGTCTTTGGGGAGGGGACAAAGAAGAAAAGCTTACTTAGGGTAACCATGCTTGCTAGCCCTGAGCTGTTTCCCAGTTGAACTTTTGTCCTTATGAAGAGTCGTTATCTGGCATGTCTGCCAACTTTTGATACCCTGATGGGCCATTCCTTGGTAGGAGTAAGGGATTTAGCAGATTGAGGTGGAGTGTGCACGTGACCACTGCACAGCACCCTGGCATTTACTTCATCATGGAAAGGGACTGTGCCAGGAGCCTGGTCTAGAGGCCAGGATGTTGGGGAGGGGAAGGGAAGGCAGGCTGATGGCAGTCTGAGCCCTTGAGGGCTGAGGGCATCTAGATTTTCATTTGCTCTATAGTGTTTCATTTTTTCCCTCATTCTCTCCTGTTTGCTGAGGTACAAGGTTCCAAGCTGCCTCTTTGTATACTGCAGCGTCCTGGCCTTCCCTTACACTCATCTGCCTTTTTTAAAAAAAATTATTTATTTGGCTCTGCTGGGTCTTAGTTGCAGCACGTGGGATCTTCTTTGTGGCATTGTGGCTCTTAGTTGGGGGATGCGAAATCTAGTTCCCTGACCAGGGATTCAACCCGGGCCTCCTGCATTGAGAGTGCAGAGTCTTAACCACTAGGCCACCTGGGAAGCCCCTTGTCTATCTTTCATTTGTCAGAGTAAGAGAGTGAAAGTCCTGTCCTACTCTTTGTGACCCCATGGACTATAGCCCACTAGGCTCCTCTGTCTATGAAATTCTCCAAGCCAGAATACTGTAGCGGGTCACCATTCCCTATTGTGTTGATTGTCAGAGACCTGAGGAAGCCGGAGTCCTGAAAAGATGGTCAGCCTACTCTAGGAGTTTGTCCTGTTTAGATCCTGGAAAGCCTTTTCTCCAGGCTTTCATGTTCCCAGCTTCCTCCTAGCTGATGCTTTTCTTTGGAACACACAGAAATAATGAAAGATAATAATAGCATGATAACTTTGTATAAAATCTTGATCCACATAGTAATCTGAGTTAGGCAGAGCAAGTGAGAACACTTGGAATCAGTGTTGGCTTCGCTGCTTATAAGCGTTTCTGTGGATGAGACTGCTCTCAGACTGTAGAGGAGATGGCACATTGTCTACCTGAAAGGGACATGATTCAGATCAAGAAAGAAGGTATATGGAACCATTTTGTAAGGTGTTATAAATGGGAGGGACTGACATTGTCTTCACCTCAGTTTTGGAGGTTAGGAAACAGAAGCTTAGGGGAGTGCTGGGACTTGAATCCAGCTCTGAGATTTTAAGGCCTGACTCTCCTCCACTCCCGCCTCGGGTGTAACCAAAGCTTGGTGTAGGGTGAAGCTTGGCTTGGCCATGGAAGGACTGTCTGTCCCTGTATGCCTCACCGGTTCCATGTACGTTTCTTTACAAGTTCTAGAACACAAAGCCAGTCAGATGCTGGGGAAATGTGTTAAAAACAAGAATCTATTCATGGGGCTCATGAGAGAGAAGTGGTGGTATTTAACCTTGGTATCATTTTTTTTATTTTAAAAGGATAAGCTGAGAATTCTGCCAGAGTAGAAATTCAGTCAGAACTTTTGACAACTTTTTAGCTAGCCAAATATTTGATTTGCTGAGATGCCAGGGTTTGGGTTTTAAATTTGTGGCCAGTGGTGGCAGGAGCTGGGTCTGGAGCCAGGGCGGCTCCATAGGAGCTGGGGTTGGCCCTCTCTTCCACAGAGACCCACAAAGGTAGTGTATCAGCTCAGTTCATTAAATTGAGTTATGAAGTACCTGTTAGAGGAGTCAGGCCCTGGGGATCCCATGATTGCCTGCCTTCGGGGAGCTTCTGTTTAGAGGGTTCCAGCTGTTGATGCGCATTTCCCCAGGGCCTTTTGGGTAATTTCTTCACAAGTTTAAAGTTTCTTTTCCCTCTTCAGCTCAGAAGTCTCAGCCTTTTGTTTCAGGACTGGTGCTTGAGCTTTCAGTCATTTTAAAACTTAATTTTGTTTAGGATGTCTTTAAATTTTTTTTAATTGAGATACAATTGACATAAAATGTTTTTGTTTTAGGTATACAACATTCAGTCATTCTGTTAAATAAAATTCTGTATCTAATTCTTCAATAGCAATGTTGGTTATTCATTTCATTCTTCAGCAAACATTCATTGAATAGAGAACTCTGTCTTGTGCATTAAGTTAAAAAGCAAATCTGACATGGTCTCTGCTTTTAAAAGTTTCTGCCTTGGTGAGATAAAGTGCTGGGTGGGGGAGGGGGGTGGGTGGCGGTGATATAGGAATTGAGAAGGGATGCAGAGAGAGGCTCTTTCTTCAGATCTGAACTGGATGGGTTCTGAGGAAAGGGGAGGAGGAACCTGGACTAAGTTCCCTTACCACTGATAGTCCAGACACAGCCAGGAGTCTAATACAGAAGGAATCTGACTCAGGAGGTTCTAGGATGGTTGGGCTAGTTGGGGAAGGAGAATTCCCTGAAAGCCTGGGTCTCTAACATGTCCAGATGATCCTTGAAGAGGATAGGCAGGCTGCTGTAGCTTTGGAGATGGGGGCAGAGGAAGAAACGGAATCCTTGCTTTATGGATGTAGCATTGATCTAGAAGCTGAAGGTCTGTCCTTGAGCCTGGCCTGTTTCTCCCCAAGAGAGTGGATAAACTCTCACTCTTGGTGCCCCTGCCCAGTTCCCAAGGCTCAGGACCTGTAATGCTTTTGATTCCCCTTTTTCTGTCTACACAAGACTTTGCTACTATTAGGGAGGCCACATTATGCCCAGACCTCAGTGAGAATTAATTTCCTTGCAGGGACATAGGCTCAAGAACTCCGAGAATCAGACTTATCAAGCCCTGGACAGCTTGAACACCAGCCGACGGGTGCTTATCTCCGGGACCCCCATCCAGAATGATCTCCTTGAGTATTTCAGCTTGGTACACTTTGTCAATTCGGGAATCCTGGGTAAGAATCTGGCCTTTTCTGCTACACTAGAGAGGGGCCTTGATGTAACCTTGCGAGTCTAACTCTAGCTGAGAAGAGAGGAGACCACAGTTAAATGTGGGTTACTAGACACTCTTAGGAAGACTTCTCTAGTCGAGGAGTACCAGAGCTGTGGGGAGACCTTGGCTCTGCCGGGCAGCTTAGCAAGTCCCACCCTGGCCCTTTTTCCCACCGTAGAGGTGGCAGGGGCTGTGCAGGGCATGGTCTCCATGAGCTAGAGATGGAAGTACTACCCCCAGGTATTTTTGCTCATCATATCCTAGCAGCCTCAGAAGAGCTCTTGCCTCAGAGAAGACCGTCTTGGGCAGTTTTGTATTTAACCATTATTTAGTGTACAACTTAGTGTCATTGAATACGTTCACATTGTTGTGCAACCATCACCACCATCTACCTCCAGAACTTTTTCATCTTGCAATTCTGGGACTCTTCCCATTAAGCAGCAACTCCTCACTGCCCGCCCCCCCCCACCAGCCCCTAAAAATCATACGTTGGGCAGTTCTTGTACATAGATATCTGTGGAAGGGTTTGTTAGTGCCCATTTTTGAGCTTCATCTAAAAAGAATCATATATTTTACTTTGCATCTGGATTGTTTTGTTCACTATAATGTTTGAGAGTAATTCATGTTGTTGTCTATGGCAGTTTTTCATTTTAGTATACTATTCCATTTTTTTAATATACCAGAATTTATCAGTTCTACTGTTGATAGACAATTGAGTTTTCCATTTTTTATTATTTTGAATAATGATCCCATGAACATTCTTCTACCTTTTTTACATGAGAATAATATGCATTTCTCTGTCATAAAAATGGAATTGCTGGGTCATACGTTATGTATGAGTTTAGCCCTAGTAAATAATCCAGTTTTCCAGAGTGATTGTACTAGCAGTATATGAGAATTTCAGTGTTTCTACATCAGGGGCCAGCAGTTTTTTTCTTAAAAGGCTAGATAGTAAGTATTGTAGGATCATAGGCCATACTGTCTGTCACAGGTACTCAGCTCTGCTGTACTGTGAAAGCAGCCATAACATGTAAATGCATGAGCATGGATGTGTTCTAATAGAACTTTACAGAAACAGGTGACTGGTCTGTGGATGTAATTTGCTGACCTCTGCTTTTTTCACCAATATTTATCTTTAGAAGAGATTAAATTTTTTTTTTGATCATTCTGCTGGATGCTTAGTGACATTTCTTCACATTTATTTAATTTTGAGTAAAAGTGGAACCCCTTTTCATATATTCATTGGCCATTTGGGATCCACTTTTGTGAGGTACCTGATCTTTGAAATTCCTGACTAAAACAAAATCCTATACTCATTAACAGTCACTCCCAACCCCACTTACTGCAACCCCTATCAACTACCAGTCTATTTTCTGTCTCTGTGACTTGCCTGTTCTGGATATTTCCTGTAAATGGAATCATATAATATGAGACCTTTTGTGTTTGGCTTCTCATACTTAGCATAATGTTTTCAAGGTTCATCAGCATTGTAGCATGTATCAGTATAGATCTTCCTCAACTTATGATGGGGTTCTGTGCCACTAAACCCATTATAAGTTGAAAATGTCTTAAGTCAAAAATGCATTTAAGGGATGTCCTTAGTGGTCCAGTGGTTAAGACTGCATTTCCACTGCAGGGGGTGTAGGTTCAACCCCTGGTTGGGGAGCTAAGATCATGTATGCCACGCAGTGCAGCCAAAAAAGCAAATAAAAAATAAAATGGTATGCAGCACAAAAAATCATACACCTTAAAAAAAAATGCATTTAATGCCAAACATTAAAACTTAGCCTAGGCTACCTGAAATGTGCTCAGAACACTTAGATTAGCCAAAAATTAGGTAAAAGCAGTTCACACAGTCTATTTTATAATGAAGTATAGAGTATCTCATGTAATTCACTGAATACTGAAAGTGAAAACCAGAATGTATGGGCATAGAATGATTATATCAGTTGTTAACTCTCGTGATCACTGCAGCTCACGGGGCTCTAGGGCATGGGCTCAGTAGTTAAGACCCACAGGCTTAATTGCCCTGCAGCATGTGTAATCTTCCAGATCAGGGGTTGAACCTGTGTTCCTGGCATTGGGACTGTGGGATCTTAACCACTGGACCACCAGGGAAGTCCCTGGTCCATTTACATTTAATGTAATTAGGTATATATTTGAGTTTTGATATACTTGCTGTCTTAATATTTGGCCTTTCAAGTCTTTACTGCTTTGGTAGCTCTCTGATCTATTCAAACAGAAATTGCCTATAATTTGTTCAGCTTTGTTGTTCTTGGCAGGAAGGTTAGTCTGTGACAAAGTAGTCTGCCATTCCTGGCAGTGGAAAGGTCATTACTTTTCTGCATTCTTTAATACCTTTTCTCCTGTGCTAGGAACCGCCCAGGAGTTCAAGAAGCATTTTGAATTGCCAATTCTGAAGGGTCGAGATGCAGCTGCCAGTGAGGAAGATAGGCGTGTAGGAGAGGAGCGACTGCGGGAGCTCACCAGCATTGTGAATAGGTAATGGGGGTTGGGGTGACAGTAGTAGTACCTCTTTTGGGGTCCCCCCACATTAGGTCATCAGAATTGCCTTCTTAGCTATCCAAGGCCAATCCTTTGGGGCCTTGGCCTTTGGGGGGTAGGGTTCTATGAAGAGAGTGGGATGGTGCCCTGACAATAATAGCCACTGAGTAAATGAAGGGGTCTGGCAGGCTGATTCCCTGCTTTCTTCCTGGCCTTGGCCCCTGTGGTCTGGTTTGGTGCCACTTAGCATCCTGCTGAGGAAGTTTTTGTATCCCTTGGAGCATTGTTAGTACTTTGTGTGTCTCAGATCTAAAGCACCAAGCTTCTCTTCCCACATCCCACAGCTTTCTGTGACAGGTAGTAGATCTGAAGGATGGGTGGTGTGCCTCCCGAGCTGATGGGGCTTTTTCCATGGGGGCCACATTGCTCAAGGGGCAGGTATATTCTGGACTGTTATAGTTATTCTGTTGTAGTTATATATACTTGATGATTTATATCCTGAAGAGTCTTGCTTTTGCCAACTGCCACCTCCCTCTCAGGTTAAGATGACAGGAAAGAGTCCATGTGCTCTTAGGAGCTGCTGCTCAGGTGCCTGATCTCTGTCCTTCCTGGTCTGCCAGGTCGTAGGGGCAGAATTTAATTGAACTTTGGGCCGTTTGTCAGTAGGCAGTGGGCAAATGTAAGGAGAAACTCCCGTAAAAACTCAGTGGTTTACAGATTCAGTTCCCTGTCAGAGCACCAGGCTTAGTAGAAGACTTCTGCCTTCTCTTGAAGACAAGCTAACATTCTGAAGAAGAGAAAGAGTTGTCCGTCAAGCTAGACCCTAAGAAAGGGTCTCCGTTCCCATGGCTGAGACCCTGATATAGACATCTTTGCCAAAGAGCTGATGAGTGTCTGATATTTGATACTACAAAGAGCCTTGGTCCTTCGGTGTCAGCTTTTATTCTGGTAGTTAGTGTGGCAGTTTTATCAGCCCCTTGCCTTTTTATCTTGTTCTTCCAGGTGCCTGATACGGAGGACATCTGATATCCTTTCTAAATATCTGCCTGTGAAGATCGAGCAGGTGGTTTGTTGTAGGTACTGAACAACTGAGGGATGTGGAGTGAGTGGGTAAAAGCTCAGCCCCTGAGGTATGGTTGGGCTCTCAAGGTGTCCTCAAAAGGCAGAAGTGTGGTCCTGCATTTCCTGCTGACCAAGCTACTCTTCTTTTTGTTTTTTTTTAAAAGGCTGACACCACTTCAGATTGAATTATACAAGAGGTTTTTGAGACAGGCCAAGCCAGCAGAAGAGTTGCGTGAGGGCAAGATGAGTGTGTCTTCTCTTTCTTCCATCACCTCACTGAAGAAACTCTGTAATCGTGAGTTAGATCCATGCCCTGGGTTCCTCTGTGAAAGTGAGCGAGGAAGGTAGTTCAGCCACCTTTACTGAAACTTGTCTGTAGTCTTCATGGAGGCCACATGTGATTTTAACCCTTCCCAAGGCATAAGCTCATGCACTAGACCAGACCCTTTGCTTTGGAAAATTTAGCTTAGCCTCGCTTGACCCATGTTTGATGCTTGGAGCATACAAGACTGTGCATGAGAGTGTGTGTGCACGTGTGCCTATAAAATGTTGGATGGGGGGAAAATAACAAACTTTGCCCTCTCTGGTATAACACCCCTCTTGTTGGGAGAACACAGAACACACTAGTGAGCAAGATTGTCTACTCATGATCCCAGGTGGCACTGACTACACACTGGGCTTTGGAAACAAGTCTGGTGCTGAGGAAGGTCTGGGTAGGTTTCTAGAGCATGTTCTAATGAGCACTGAAGTGAAACTTCTAAACCCAGTAGCTGGCAATTTGGAGGGTTTTTTGTTTTTTTTTCCAGATCCAGCTTTAATCTATGACAAGTGTGTGGAAGAGGAGGATGGCTTTGAAGGTACCTTGGACATATTTCCCCCTGGTTATAACTCCAAGGCTCTAGAGCCTCAGCTGTCAGGTGAGTCCTTTCCTGCCAGTCTTTGGGTCCCTCTGGGAAGAGACAGGAGGTTGTCTCTTTGTGCTCGATCTATTCCATCTCAAGAGTAAGAATCCTGGCCACTGGGATGGCTCATTGGGGGCTGATAGTTGTTGATCTCCTAGGTAAGATGCTGGTCCTTGATTACATTCTGGCGGTGACCCGAAGCCACAGCAGTGACAAAGTAGTGCTGGTGTCCAATTACACTCAGACATTGGACCTCTTTGAGAAACTCTGCCGAGCCCGAAGGTAGGGAAGAGCTGTCATAGGGACACCTCACCTCCTGTATTCATAGGAAAAACAGGTGTTTGGATTGGTGGATGTGGCCCAAAATGCAGGCACAGGAGGGACTTCCCAGATGTTTGTTCCTTATTGCTCCATCTCCAAACAGAATAGCCCCTGGTCCTTTAGGTATTCCACAGGACAGTCCTGGCCCCTTAGCTCTTTGCCAATCCCTTTGGGAGTTTAGGGTTTCAGGAGAGGTTGGTTCTATCTCTTCAGTAGCTCTGCCTCCAAGGACACTCTACTTCTTTTTTTTTAATTGGAGGATAACTGTTTTACAATGTCATGTTAGTTTCTGCTGAACAACAGTGTGAATCAGCCATGAGTATACATTCCCTGTTAAACCTCCCTTCCCCTCATCTCACCCCTTTAGGTCATCATAGCACCAGGCTGAGCTCCCTGTGCTATACAGCAGCTTCCCACCAGCTATGTGTATATATGTCAGTCAATTTGTCCAACCCTCCCCTTCCCCCTCTATGTTCTGTTTACTTTTTGATTTGATCTTTGGATTCCCCTTTAGGTACTTATATGTTCGCTTAGATGGCACAATGTCCATTAAGAAGCGAGCCAAGGTTGTGGAGCGCTTCAACAACCCATCGGTAAATGCACGGCCACTGTCCCCATGCTACCAGTGCAATAACATGAAAACTAAAGGTTGATGAAGAATTTATAAGGGGCCTCTGCTTTAGGGTCTCTTTTTTTTTTCTGGTGGGTGTGGTAGGGTTAGGATAGTTGGTTTATAAAGATTGTGCTGGGAACTGAGCTTGTGGGCTGATAAATTGGCTGGTAGGCAGGCAAACTGACAGTCCACACGTGAGAGAACAGTTGGGTGGTCTGCATAAGATTCTTAATTTGGGATATAAGCAGTTCTTTTTTTTTTTCTTTTTCCAGAGTCCTGACTTTGTCTTCATGCTAAGCAGCAAAGCTGGGGGCTGTGGCCTCAATCTCATCGGGGCTAACCGACTGGTCATGTTTGACCCTGACTGGAACCCAGCGAATGATGAGCAAGCCATGGCCCGGGTCTGGCGTGATGGTCAAAAGAAGACCTGCTATATCTATCGCCTGCTGTCTGTAAGGATGGTGATAATGTCCAGAGTAGGGGTGGGTCATGGAATAAGACCTTCAGGATCACCTTGGGTGTTTCTCATTGCCTCTGTGTGGCCCCTCTGCCTGTAGTGGTGAGCAGGGTATGGGCTTAGCCTGGAGCCCTTCATTCTTCTGCTCTTTCCCCTCTCTCTACCCTGTTCCTCAAATCCTTTTTACTATGCTCTCTGGATGCCTGTGGATAATAAACTCCCCTATGGCCTCATTCTTTTCACAGGATCCTTGCTTTCTCTTAAACCTGATTTCTCCTGTGCCGCTTGCCTTGTAGTCTTCTCACATTCCATCTTTCGGGGCTAAGTGGTGGTATTGGCATTCTCCAGGTTCTCAGTGACCACCCAGACCATCCATCCTATAGTACCTCTTTTGAAGCTCATGTTGCCTTACTTAACTACCCTCTTTTCTTCCTTGCTACAGTTATCTACCTTCTGCTGTTTACCTAATTCATTAATAAGTTTGGACATCAGCTCAGTCTTCATTACTTCCCCAAGTCCTACTATCATCCTGGTTGACTTCAGGGGCCATGCAGTTTTCCAGCACTCTAGCCTTCATGTTTCCTTGACTTCTACATCTGTTTCAACCTGATGTCCTTAATTACTACTTGCCCCAGTTCCTCCCAATCAGGCTTGACTTCCCTTACTATTCAGCCTGATTCTCCCTGTTCATCCTTTCTGCCACTCTTCCCCTAATACCTAGTCTTGGATCATTACAGCTATTTACAGCTTCTTCACCAGATAAAACTTGCATTTTTAGATTGGCACTACCACCAGTTCACATTCTCCATTTTGAGCTGGGCCGTATCTCATTTCCTTCAATAACCACTTCAAGTTTTTCCCTCAAGTTTCTCCTAATCCTGTCTTTCCTTCTTTCTGCAGACACGTTGGTCTTCCACCTCACAGGGAAAATGTAGGCTACCAAACCTAAGTTCTCTCGCCTACCTTTCTCTGTTCTGTCCGTCTCTACATCTGCTCTTTTTTTCCATTCTCAAATGAGAATCATTTCCTTCCTTTCTACTTGGGACTTATCATTCCAGCTCTGCTCTAGACCTTTTCCCCATTCTTTCCTTTCTTAGTTAATCAGTTTCTCCTTTATTCCCCTGATGTCTATGAACATGGTCAAGTAGCTCTCACCTTAAAAATAAGTTTCTCAACCCTCTCTTCCATTGTAGTGACTACCTAGGGTTATTTTCCATTCATTCACTGTCAGATTTTCCCAAAGCCTAGAGATTTAATTCATGTCATCTCCTACTCACTAAACTCACCAGTTTTGCCACTGAACCTGCTTTCAGTGTATTATTGACTTCCTAATTACTAAAACAAGAGACTCTTGATTTTTCTTCTTTGTGTGTCTGACACTGGCTGCAGATCTTAAAATTCTATCACCTACTGTATATTTCTACTTGAATGTCTTGAGTATCCCCTTCTGAATTTTGTCACTTAATGACTGTTATCCATCCAACCCAAATATGAGTATAATCCTGTGAACCATTCTCTGCTTCCTAACTAGATTCCAATTATCATTGATTCTACCTTCTCAAAATGTCCTTTTTTTGTTTTGAAAGGGCATGCATTTTTTAAAATTTTATTTTAATTGGAGGCTAATTATTTTACAATATTGTGGTGGTTTTTGCCATACACTGACATGAATCAATGTCAGTTGATTCCATGGGTGTACATGTGTCCCACCATCTTAATCTAACCTTCCTCACCATCCCATGCTAAAGTCACAGTCATCTCCCACTTGGATTTTGCAGCAGCATCCTAATTCTTTACCTTTGGCCTTATCATAACCCATTTTTCACAACTACTTCCAGAAAGAGCCTTCCAAAAATTCTAGTTTTTGCTTTGTACTTTCAGGACAAGGCCTAGCTCTTTAGCCTAGCATCCAAGTTTCTACAGTATGGGACTTTCTCAGTAGGCCAGGCTTATTGATTTTGTTCTTATGCCTGGAATGGCTTCTGTTCTGTTTTTCTTTGTAAACCATCTATTCATTTTTCAAGATTCAGCTTAAAGATAATCTTTACTTTCAAGCTCTTCAACATTATTTCACACTACTGTCCCTCCTGTGGGTCACGAATTCTGTCATTGTACCAGTTAGTTTATATGTTTCTCTCTCTCTAGTCTATGAGTTGAAGGATAGAGATCATATTGATTCTTCTTTCTGTCTGGTGTTAACACAAGACCTGGCATATTACCCAAATGACATTTACTTGAGTGAGTGAGACTTGGGCTTGGTGTGGAGGTCAGATAACGCTGCTGCAGATAAACCTCAGCTCATCCTAAAGAAATTTAGCCAGGTCCTGAAACCCTTTATCGGTATAGAAAATATCCTGGGTGGGCAGACATGTCCAAATTATATTCCCAAAAGATAGACTAGGAGAATGGACTGAGCTGATCAGAGGTTATTGAGGCAAGACTCTTACTTCTCATTCATCTCCCCTTCTGTGCAGCTATAGTTTCAACCCCTGGGTTTTCCTGCCCCCTATGAATGGAGGTGACTTAGCCCTGGGCTCCACCCCTGCCCCCACCCCCCAGGCAGGAACCATTGAGGAGAAGATCTTTCAGCGTCAGAGCCACAAGAAAGCACTGAGCAGCTGTGTGGTGGATGAGGAGCAGGATGTGGAGCGACACTTCTCTCTTGGCGAGTTGAAGGAGCTGTTTACCCTGGATGAGGCTAACCTCAGTGACACACATGACAGGTGGGTGCGGTGCCCCTGCTGGCCATTATCTCTGAACACGCCGCTACACAGCATGGAGCTGGGACCCACTGTAACCACAGTTCTATCCTCTGCCCCCAGGTTGCGCTGCCGCCGCTGTGTCAACAACCACCAGGTCTGGCCACCCCCTGATGGTTCTGACTGCACCTCAGATCTGGCTCAGTGGAACCATAGCACTGATAAGCGGGGGCTCAAGGATGAGGTACTCCAGGCTGCTTGGGATGCTGCCTCCACTGCCATCACCTTTGTCTTCCACCAGCGTTCCCATGAGGAGCAGCGGGGCCTCCACCTTTAACCAGCTGGTCTGGTGTGTAGCTGTTAGAGGAAAGAGATGGGGAGAGGGGACTCCCTGTCCAATAGGGCACTGTTGAATTTTGTTCTCTGAGAGAAAAATCAAGAAGGGCTGCATGATGTTTGCCCAAAATTTATTTTATAAGAAAAACTTTTTGGTTAAAAAAAAGAAAGGAATAAAAGTATGAAAGGGACTGAGGCCTGGAAGCAGCATGGTAAGCCCAGCAGAGGAGAGGCCTGGTAATGGGCACTCCTATATGTCACTAAAGCCTGGGTACCTGCTTGAGAAAGGAAAGCAGGAACCCTGAGGCAGGGAAGGGGACGGGGGCTGTCCTCAGTGACTGATGACCACTGAAACCTCCTGGCCCAGGGTACTGGGTAAGGAACCCAAAGGCTCCAAACCCAGGTGTGGGAATGCCTTTGCTGGGCCCCATCAAGGCCTCCAGGACCTCAGTGCAAGGGAAAAAGGAAAAAAGAGAAAAAAGGTAGCAGAAAGAGACAGAATTGGTGGTTGGGAGTTCTGGGCAGCCCATGCCTCAGCCCCTGCAAGCTGATGGTACTGAGCATGGGCCTATGAGGCATGGGCCCATCACATGGTGCTGACATAATCTGCGAAGGCTTGGGATGAGTCCCACGAGTCGCTAACCACATGGCAGGTGGCCCGGAGCCGCCGGATGGCTTCCCTGGCTGTGACTGCATCCTGGTCCAGCCAGTTCTGGAAGAGGCGCAGGTGACCAAAGGCCCCACGGCCCCAGCGCTCCAGCCGCTTGGCGAACTCCAGAAGCCCATCTGGCTTGATGCAGTTGGAACTGGTAGGGGTGAGGAACAGAAACCCAGGAATCAATTAATCCCCGGTCTGTGTCCCTGCAGCTTTATCCCTTGTCATTCCCCACTCCCACGGGTACCTGATATCCAGCTGACAAAGAGAGGAGGATGAATCTTCTGAGAAAACATCTGCCAGGGCCAGTAGGCCAGCATTCCCTGAGGAGATGGGGAGAAATGCTCATCACCTTTACCCCAGAATAGGAAATAAAGGTATCCCAACCCAATTCTGGCTGGAGAGAAGCTCAGCCTCCTAAAGCCCCAGCACAACTATATCCCAACTCCTGTCTTCCCAGTGGAGAGGTCTGTGCCTTCACCCACTGAGTTTCTAGGTCAGAGGACTGGCTCCTTCCCCCTCTCCCTCCTCAGGGCCCTGTCCCCACCCAGGCGGTTCCCTGGCAGCCGGAGGCCCTTCAGTGTGGAGTTGCCCTTCATAGCAGCAACCATCTCGGGCAGAAATTGGGCTGGGCGCTTCTCAAACAGACGGCAGAAGGAGAAGGTAATCTCTGTAAAGAAAAATTGGAATAAGTTCTGGTGGCAGCCTGAGGACTGGTGCTGCCCCACCTGCCCCCAGGGCCATAAAAAGGGTTATAAGCATTTTATAGAGTCCCAGAAGAAGAAAATAATTTGTCCAAACCCTCAAGCAAGGTTGCAACTAAGGATTCAAACCAGAAACTGAGCCTATGGGGAGACTCTCTAGATGGACAGTTCTCCATTCACTTCCTTTTATGCAAGGGTGGACATTAGTGACAAGTCTATGAGGGGGGCCTGATAGTACATTTATCCCTTCCCACCACCATCATTTCTGTCAGCTAGTGGAAGGTAAGAAAACTTTTAGGTGAGGTACTCTACAAGTGAATAATTTCCCATGTTTAGTTTAAGAAGGGTTAGGTTGGGGACCTTCTAGAAGGAAGGTGATGCAGGTTCTATAACTTTATAGTTATGAGGATGTAAGACTAAGAACAGAACAGTGGCTTGTTGACTCAGTGAGACTGTGGCAATTCTGCAGTGAGGACCAATGAGTCCCTGGGTTCTAGATGAAGAACTTACCTTGAAGAGTCAGATTCTGTAGCAAAAAGAGCACCTCACTCTGACAGTCAGCCAGATTCATGTCGTGGAAGCTCAGCCTCTTTAGGGTTAGGTTGTACTCTGGATTGGGAGAAAGTTCATGGACCTTAGCTTTCCCAAAGAACAAAGTCCCCTTCTATTCTTCCCTTTATCATTCTAGCTGGATCATACCTTTGAGTGTCTGCAACACAAGCCCAAAATCTTGGGGAGATGCAAAGGTGGCACTATCCAGGGACAGTTGCTGCAGAGAACCTGAGGCCTTCAGTACAGAGCAAAGCAGTGGGGCTGGCTGGGCTCCCCGTGGAAATCCCATCTCCAGCTGTTCCAGGCAGTTTTCTGGATATGGTAGGAAGAGAAGATTCCAGCTGATTGTATCTACTTCACTCCCATTGCAGGTCTCATCCTGTCCTTAAGGGATTCACTGAAAAATCATTTATTCATCTACTTGTCCTTGAGTACCTATATATGCTGGGCAGTACGCTAATACACAGTTTAGTCCTTGCCCGTTATAACAGTGCTTTTGATCCAAGACTACTCAGACACAAGTATAATAAGAGTATGCAGAATGGTGGGCTCAAGTGGCACTAGTGGTAGAGAACCTGCCTGACAATACAGGAGACATAAGAGACGTGGGTTTGATCCCAGAATTGGGAAGATCCCCTGGAGAAGGAAATGGCTACCTACCCCAGTATTTTTGCCTGGAGAATTCCATGGACACAGGAGCCTGGTAGGCTGCAGTCCATGGGAGTCACAAAGAATCAGACACAACTGAAGTGACTTAGCACATGCAAAATGGTAGAATATGAAACATAGGAACTAAGGGAACATATAGCATGGGGACCCATCAGTTTGGTCAGTTCGGTTCTTGGTTCAGACCCCTTTCTGGAGTGGATGTGCCAGTGACTCCCTATTAGGCTAGTGTTGGTCTGAGATCTGTCCAACCCATGGTTATCTTTAAAACTGAAATTCACTCAGTCGTGTCCAGGTCTTTGTGACCCCATGGACTCTACAGTCCATGTAATTCTCCAGGCCAGAATACTGGAGTGGGTAGCCTTCGCTTCTCCAGGGGATCTTCCCAACCCAGGGATCAAACCCAGGTCTCCCACATTGCAGGAGGATTCTTTACCAGCTGAACCAGCAGGCTCTAAAGGGAACAAATTATAGATAAGCCAGGAATGTGGTGGTTTAGAGGCCTGGATTAGAAATGTTTTGCCTGGCCCACACAAATACACCTGCACATTTGTGAGGAAATACACGCACACAATGAATGCTTCACCTGGTATCTCCTCATCCCCAATTATGTTGCTAGGGGGCCCTGCATTCCCAGGCACAGCTGGGTTGTCCCTCTGGCTGGGGTGGTCCACACGGATAGAGAGGACCCGCAGCAGGGGCAGGGCTCGCACAATGGCACGTGTCAGCTCCAGGATGGGCAATGGTGAGAACAGGTCACTGAGATGCAGGGCACGGAGGCGGCATCCAGCCTGGCCTGACAGGGCCCGCAGGCTGTCCAGCAGACGGAAGATATTAGAGCCCAGGCCTATGGCAGGAAAGACATTAGATCAATCGTGGGAGTTACATCAGGGATAACATTCAGAGGCAACTTCAGATATTTCTATTGATTAAACTATCAAATCTGAGCTTCAGATAAGATTATTTTCAGTGATTCTCGATTATTCATCCGTTGTCTTGCTTTTTCCTCAGGTAACCAGCCGACTGGTGTCTACTCTACTGGGTCATGCCCTCAAGCATCAGTCAGGCCAGAGTCACAAAACATGATAGAATGTGTGGCAGCTTGTGGCTGCTAGCTGAATGATGGGCCTAGGAAACAGCAGAGACCTCTGGACTTTTCTTGTAGGTCATGGGTAACATCTAAAACTAAGCTGGAGAATGACAATGATCCAATAGGGAATACTTTAAAAGCGTCATTGGGTAGGAATGGGGCAGAAAACTATATCCCACAGAAGGGAGTAGGATCGAGAAAGGTTAGGGTAATTAATGCCACAAAGCAAGTAATTCCGTGGAAGCTACACCTTTATCTCTGGACTGAGCAGGCTCCTGTTGAGTCATTTAACTAAACCTTAACTAGCCCTTGGTAAATACAGTTGTTTTTTTGCTAGACAAGTCATGAGCAGCAGATCTTGTTCCTACCTGATAACAAAAGCATGTGATGGGAACTGGGGAAATAGAGTACTGTGAAAAAATAAAAGGATGGGTACTTAACACCCAGGCTAGCTTACATCAGTAAAGAAGGTCCTAAACATAAAAGAGGCTAAAAGGTAGAAGAAGAGTGACCGGCAGAGTGAACTTGGCATATATCAAGACCTGAAGGAGAAAGCAGCAGGTTCCAAGAACTGAAAAATTCTCAATGTGGCTGGTATATGAAGTATAAGGGAGGGAAGTATTCAACTATAGAGGTGAGCAGGGGTAAGAACATGAATGACCCTGTAAGTAAAACTTAAGTAGGTGACAAGAAGCCACTGAGTTTTTAGATGAATGAATGACAGATTTGCACATTGAAATTACTTGGATTGTGGCATAAACAACTATGGTGAGTATGGAGGAACTGCTGAAATGATGAATCCAGGTGAGAAGTAATAATGTGAATCAGATGTGGAGATAAGCATCTGTGATGTCACTGAGAACAGAAGGAAGAAGATCCGTTCAGCTTGGGGAATGTGGTTTATAAATACTGTGATTCCTAGTTGTCAGATGGAAAAACTGGTCTGGAGTTAAGATATGTGCTAATGTCAAAATGGAGGTGTCTTCACCATGGTTGGCCTTTGAAATCAAGGAAATGGACAAAATTGTCCAGGAAACATCTAAAGTGGGAGAGCTTTGAGAAACTCTGAATATTAAGGCAAATACTGTCCAGAAAGGGAGAAAAAGTCAGGAAATTTTGAGGTAGTAGAAGTGAGACTTACATGAAGAAGAAAATGCAGAATCAAGAATATGAGGACTAAAAAGTATATACTGGAGTTAGCAACACGGATAACCTTGGTCACAATGCAGCAGAGGGAGTGTAAGCAAGGCTGAAGTGGCTGTGAGTAGAAGAAAGCACAAATGACTCTTAAGGTTGTCTGTGAAGGGCAGGAGAGAATAGGACAGTAGTTCATAAGTAGAACATATGGAGGAGGTATGGTGGTAGTTTTTGGTGGATACCTGATCCAGAGAAGAGAGGCAGCATTAAGTAGTTAGTGCTTTAAAAGCATGAATCCTGGAGCCAAGTTACCTGGGTTTGAATTCTAGGTCTATAATTTATAGACTTATCCTGGGCAAGTCACTGTAAAGTGACCCTTGTAAGCTTCACAACTGTAAGGATTAAACCAGTTAATAAAGAATATTTAAAGTATGCCAGGCACATAATAGGCAGTATATAAAAGTTCTTATTAAGGCATTTGAAAAACAAGCTTTTCTAGGGAGGTGAGTGTATGGATCTGGAGCACAAGCAGATGAATTAGCCTTAGACAGGACAGCCATTTATCCCATTGTGATGAAAAGAGTGCAAATGCATAAGTTTATAGGTTGGTTAACAAGTTGAAGGAGTTCATGTGTGATGGCTTCTATTTTTTCTGAAGCAGGTGAGGTTTGCTAGGAAAGGAAAAGAGGAAAGGATTTGGGAGTAGGAATGGAGCTAACATTGCTAACAGGGTTCATATGAGCTTGATGACCAGGAATGTATATAGTATATAGTGCACCAATCTGCAGTTGTGTGACTTCAGCAGCATTCAGCAACAGGCAGATTCCTGGGTTTAGTAAGAACTGAAGTTTGGCTAGCTGGGCACAACAAGGTGGGCAAGAACTGAGGACTGTTAGGTTGCTGGTCTGATCTTTAAAAAAAAAAAAAAAAGTGTCCCACACCTTTTTGTACAGCTCCTTTGATATGATAGGTAAGATCCAATCTCAGCCCTCTCCTTGGGCCTATATGTTATATTTTCCCACCTGCCCTTGGTTAGCCTACTATATCTAAAGTAGACTCTTAAGATTCTCACTGCTCCTCAGGAACCCCTGCTTCCAACTAGATCAAGCCATAGTAGCACTGAGTCTGCCACTAAGTCTCCTCCCTGAGGTGGGTAGGGCCACACCTCTGGCTTCCTGATCGTAGCCCCTCTTCCCCCCAACAGGGTTGGGCACAGCTGGTGCTGCTGGGAGACCAAATCTTAGCCCTCCAGGGCACTCACCATTATAGGAGAGTGTGAGGCTCTCCAGAGACACCCAGGAGCTCAGCAGGTGGCACAGTGTCAGAGCCGCCTCTGTGGAGAGTGGAACTGTGAAAAGCTCCAAGGTGGAAATGCTGCGGAATCGTTGGGAGGCTTCCAGTGCTGGAAGCCCCAGGCAGCTGGGATCTGATCCATCCAAAGCTCCACAAGCCACTTCCCCAATCTCCATCTCTTCCCCATCCTCTTTCTCACCCGCCACAATGAAAACAAAGTCATACAGGTCTTCAGATTCTGCGCCACACCCCTGACGGGTGCGAGCACCCTTCTTCCCTGCAGCTCGCTTAAAACGCTTTAGGGGTTTAGGCTGTGGGGCTGAGCTGGCTGGAGCCCGTTTAGATGAGGATGTGGAAGAAGAAGCAGAGGCAGAGGAGGTGGTGGCTGGAGCAGAGGGTGGGCGTCTGGTGCCAGGAGCCTCATGGGAGGCGGCTGGAGGGACTGGCTCCCTCTTATTAGAGTCTGTGCCGCCTGCTGTCAGGCTCTCCTGTGTGCTCCGGCGTGTTATCCGAGTGGCAGGTGCAGCTCTGGCCGTCTGCTTGGCTTCACTCTTACGCCGGGAGGCCATCAGAGCTGCAGCACATCGCTCAGCAGCATCTCGGCGAGGCCGGCGTGAGCCCAGCAAAAGGGACCCTTCATCTCGGGATGGGGCCCGGCCTCGGGAGGCCTCTCCACAGAGGCGGCAGGGCAGACCACCAGGGCCTGGCTGCCAGAAGCCAGCACTCATGGTGAGGATAAGAATGAAAAGGGCTGACTCGGGCACAGGCCAGGAGTACAGCGACACCTGGTTGACAGCCCCATGGTGAATAAGCTGATGTAACAGCTGCCTAAGTGACTGCTGAGCAGCCACATCGGAGAACAGCAAGTGGCGGAACTTAAGGGTGTGCAGGGAACTGGCCAGGGTCTCCAGAACCCTGCGGTTGGGCTCGGCCACCAGCTCAGTTGCACCCTGCAGCATGTTGCAGATGGTGAGCTGCCGGACGTGGCGGGAACTATGCAGGAGAGGTGAGAAGCGCTGGTCACAAAGACGCCTGTCAGAAGACACATCAATGGTCCCACGTAGAACATGGGAAAAAAAGGCCTCCATAAACTTGGCTCGCCAACAGGTCACGCTCTGAAAAGCAAAGAACATTCCAGACAGCTGTGATACTAAGTGCTACCCATAGGATCCAGTTTCCTTTCTTCCAATAGCTAGCTATTTACTAAGCCAGGTAATGTTCTAAATAACATGCAAGTTCATTTAATCACATCTTTGAGGTATATATTACTATTAGATCCAATTTACAGGTAAGAAAAACAAGACACAAATGTTATTGCCTGTGGTTACATAATTAAGCGGTAGGATTAAGATTTGAAACCCAGGAGGGAATTCCTTGGCGGTTCAGTGGTTAGGACTCTTGAGCTTTCACTGCTAGTGGCCCAGGTTCAATCCCTGGTTGGGAAGGAAGAATTCCACAAGCTGTGTGGTGCAGCAAAAAACAAAACCTGAAACTAGGAAATTTGGTTCGAGACAATTTTGCCAAAATGTCTCTCAAGTGAAATACTTCTGTAAGTTGTTTCACATTTGTTTTTAGCATCTGATCCTACCTTTTCATTCTTATCATTGCCACCTTTGTTCAGCCCCTTATTACCTAACACCTGGTACTTCATTAGCTTCCTGATTGCTCTCCTTGTTTCCCTTCCCAAACTTTTGCACAAGTCCATTGGGTTAACCTTTGTAATCAAAAATAACTCTGATTATACTATTCTCCAATACCCCAATTGAACCCCACTGCCAAGGGCATCAGGGCAGCAGCACATTTGAAGCTCCTCAAAAGCCTGGCAGGGAAAGCTGTCCACAATATGGCCTCTGCCTACCTGAGAAGCTGTATCTCTCACTTGCTTATGAAAGCTCTGCTTTGGCAAAACTGGTCACCTCACGGACCCAAACCTGCCTTTGTCCCTTCCTACATCTGCCAGAAGTGCTCTCCACTGCCTGGTCAAACAGACTCCCTGAAAGGACCTATCAACATTTTGCTCTTTGAGGCTGTTCATTTCTCCCTAAGGTTGTAGATCTCACTGACTGCCCCCCCTTACTACTACACCTCCTACTTCTTTTGGAACTCATACTGGACTATTCATGTCTTTTGGTAATGGTAACAATGGTAAATATGTCTCATGGTGTTGTCACTCTGCCTGTGTACATCATGTCTCATCCCAACCAGGTTAGAAATTCCTGGAGAGGAGGGACCAAGTCTTAGTTTTCTCCAAGGCAATACCTAGATGGATAGGAGGTTTCACCAGGCTATTCTGATACATTTAGGAGAACTCTGAACACAAGTGATTTTTAACCTTTGGAATACATCAAACTTACTGTGGACTTTTTCTCCAAAATTCATATGCCATGTACCCAGACTTGGGGATTACATCTGAGCTAAGATCCAAGCATCTTTATTTTCAAATCTCCCCCCAGATGGTTCTGATGTATATATCAGAGATTAGAAACTACTACCTACCTCAAAAGGACCTGCCAACCTCAAAAGGCAAATACTTCTCTAAATCCCCATTCTCTGCTAAGGTGCATAGAAATTCTGATGACAAAAGTGCCAGCTCTGCCACATACTCAACCTCTTCGAACCTCTTCATTTGTAAAATGTGGATATCACCTTCACAGGTTTGTTGTAGAGATCAAATGAGACAGTGTAAGTGTAAATTAAAGCACTTTATAAACGTTTACAGTTTATGATACAAAATGTAACTTTACTGTTGATAATTACCCTACATGGGAAATGGACTTCATGGAGGCAAAGCCTGTTAAGCAGGGTGCTTATTCAGCCTGAAGCAAAGGTAGTAGGGGCCTGAGGTTCCTCAAATCTAAAAATAAGACACTTCTTTTGGCTTCTACCCTACCTCCATGCATTCCTCCTACCAGATTGACCCTCAAAAGAGGTTCTTGTCAGGAGCTAGGCTCCTATTCTCAGGCAAAAGTGTCATTCCCTTTGCTTGAGCTGTTGCCTGAGAGTGCTGTAATAATCAGGATTGACTTCATGTTTGAGCTAACTGGATGGCAGCAATAAGAAAGACCCCTTAGCAGCAGTGTGGGGGCACGAGGGGAGCAGGAAAAAATACCTGGCATCCAAATCTCTACTTAGCCTTAATGGAAGTAAAGAATGTATTCCTGAGTCCTTCAATCCATCCTCACTCAACACATTTTTCACATATTTGCTGGCCCACACAGTCTTGAAAGATAACTTGCAGGTAATCCTAGCAAGGCTTCAACTTCACAGGTGAAGTAGATGGGTTACTATGAGATCTGGGTCTAAGATAACGGATAAATGTGAAAATCTAGGTGTAAGTTTCCAACTATAAGGCATGTGTAATATGAACTGTAGATAACTAACTAATTGGGTTTTTCAGACATTTTATTGGTTCATGAAGACAATGGGAGAGAATACTTGAAATTGGAACACCTCAGACCTGTGATAACCAGTGAAAGCAACATGACATAGTGATTAAGAGCATGTGCTCCAGAGCCTGGCTGCCACAACTGGATAGGTCTGCCATTCACAGACTGAAACTTCAGGCAAATCACTTTTCCTGTTTGTTTCATCATATATAAACTGAGGAAGATAACTATACCTACATGATAGAATTATGAAAATCAAATGTGTAAAATTAGCTGATGACTATCAGTGGGTCCTTTTTGATGAATTAATGCATAAGTAGATAGCAACTCACTGTCACACATCATCAAAAAGGTGAAGTGGCATTTGCTTACCAACACAACTAATCCTTAGCCCATCCACAATGGGCTGGTAGCTCAGGTACTGGTCAGGAAGAAATGTGTGTACAAACCAGGGAGAGCTAAATATTTTCTTGTATTAAACTTTTAGAGCCATACTCAAACTATACTGTCCATTGTTTTTCTGATAACAGGAATAGTTTATGGAAGCAAATCAAAAATCATGTGTAAACAAACTTTTTGGAGTGTATACGTGACAAGCCATAGGTATTTGTGTTTGTAACACTGAGACAATTCTGAACAGTTTCAAATTCTGGGCTTTAAAAAAAAAAAAAGATTATACTACCACATCATTAAACATTTTTACCACTATGTACTTAACTATTTCTAAAATGAATTTATTAATATTTTGAAAATATGAATGTACTATGTTTAATAATTTCTATATTATTGAATATTTAAATTGTTTATAACTTTTTATATTAAACTTTGCTATAATGAACATCTGGAAATAAATCATGAGTATCTCAGTTTTTATATACCATAAAATATAATTTTAGTTGAAGAATTTGAGCATTTTTTAAAAGACTCTTGACAGTTATCACCAGATTACCCACCAAGAAAGCTGTAGTATTTCTGCTCCCACCAATAACATATTAAAAACGCAAGTTCTGCCCACCCTTGGAATTATCTTTTAAAGAGGTATAATTTTACTTTCCCATTTTTTATTATTAATGAAATTGAACATTTTTTTACTTTATTGGAAATTTTTATATACTTTGTGACTTATCCAATCTTTATTCATTTTATTTTACTGTTTGCCTTTGTCTTATTCTGTATCCTTTTATTTTGCAAATACTGGTGCAAACATTCATAATTTCCTAGTTTATGCACCTTTTAAATTGTGTTTGGGCTTCCCTGGTGGCTCAGACCGATAAAGAATCTGCCTGCAAAGACCTGGGTTCCATCCCTGGATTGGGAAGATGCTCTGGAGAAGGAAATGGCAACCCACTCCAGTATTCTTGGCCTGCAGAATCTTTCACTAAATTGTGTTTATAGTGTTGGCATTTTATGTGGCCAAATGTGTCTATATAAATATATATGTATGTATTTTGTTCTACCCATTTACTAGTACTCTCTACCCTGAGACTAGATAACCAGTCACCTTTATTTTTAAAAATTGTTTTGTGCTTTTACTTTTTACAAAGTAATCTTATATAGAAATTGAGTATACTGTAAAGTGAAGCTCTTTTTTTTTTACATTTTAAATTTATCTTTTAATTGAAGGACAATTGCTTTACAGAATTGTGTTGGTTTCTGCCAAACAAGACCGTTAACTTTATTTTTTCCAAATAGTTAACCAGTTACTAGAGAACAATTTATTGAATAATCCTTTATTTCCTCATTGCTTTGTTTCCAGAATATCTATCTTATTCTACAAATCTCTTAATATACACATATACTAGTACTACACAGTTTGAAATATTATTGCTTTATAGTAGGGCTATGTCTATCTTGCTCACCACTGTATACTTAGAACCCAGTATAGTGCCTGGAACTATACAGTCACTCAATAACTGATTATGAAGTGAAGGTTACTGTTATGCAAAAGTGGGAAGTGGAAGAAGACACCCTCTGGAATGGATATGTTCCAAGTTAAGACCTTTATGTAGGTGACTGTGAGGCCATCAGGCCTGGGGCTTCCTAAATATTCTGAAATACTGAGACAAGGAAACAGCTAACAAACAGACATTTCTTTCCAGGAAGCTTGAGATAATGGTGGAAAAAGCTTTCTCAGACAAAGATATGACAATCTCCATCACTTCCTAGTCAACCATACTACTTGGGAGACACTGTGACAAAGTGAGTCATATTTCTTTAAAGACTGCAGAAAGCTATTTCCATTCTCTAACATTCTTGTGTCCACTTCTCTTCCTCTTAAGGCCTAAATCCTGTACATATGCCTGATAATTTCACTGGGCCTCAGTGTCTGTGCTGAACTCCAGGGACTGCATCTAGATCTGGAAGTGGGAAGCTAAAGGATATGGAGCTGAATGTTACTGAACCTAGTGTATACTTACAAAATAAATCTGCAGTTCCTGATAAGAGCGTGTTATCTTGTCATTTGGCCTCATTCACCATGTAACGCCCAATTCAAATGATTACTTCCTAAGAAAGACTTTCTTGTTCTCTTTTCCTTTAACCTCCTTGCTACACTCAAGTCATATGACTTGTCTTGCCATACATGATGTATTTGTTTGTAGATTTCCCCAGTAAACTGATAGTTTCTCAAGACTAGGGATTATGTCTATACTTAAAATATTTAGCATAAGACATGGTATGTGGTAAGCTGGAGTAAATATTTATTGAACTTACTCTGTCCTGTCAATTGATTATGCAGCAGCAACAGAGATGAGAGCTCTGGTGAGTTATATCTGAACCAATGAATAATAGAATCTTAGGGCTAAGAGGAGTCCTAAAAGTCATCTTGTCTAACATCTCCAACAATGCTGAATTTCTTTTATAATACCCTTGGGTCAGGTGGTTATCTAGACCCTATTAAACACTTAGTGATGGGAAGCTTATTACTTCTGGAATTAGCTTGTTTCATCACCAATAAGCTCACAGTTTAAAAATTCTACATTCAGCTTAGCAAAAGTTTGTCTTCCTTTAGCTTCCACCCAGAACAAACCTATTAATCCCTCTTTCAGATATTTCAAGACAGTTCATACTGCTCAAGTCTTCTCTTTTTCAGGAAAAACATCTCCAGTCTTCCAAATGTGACTCACAAGATGTGGCTTTGACTTCTTTCTCCATACTCCAGGGATAGCCTGACCACTGCAGAGTCAAGCAGGTTTATCATCCCCTGTGTCCTTCAGTCTACATTACAGTTACATTAGTTCACACAGTTCAGGATACAGTCATTATATGAGTGGCTTCAGCACACTGTAGACTAAACCCCCTTAATCTTTTAATACTAGCTGCTGCTAAGCCAGACCCCTCCACCCACTATCCTGAGGTCATGAAATTGGAATTTTTTAGACTCAAGAGTTAGTTTATTCTGTTCAATTTCATCCTGTTAGGTTTGACCATTGTTCCAGCCCTATCAAGACCTGAATCCAGGTTCTGCCGTCCAACATGATCACTATCTTTCCCTGTTTTATGTCACCTGCAAACATGGTGAACAAGCAAGTCAGTGACAAATGTTAAACAGGAAAGAACTTTGTGACAAGCCATTGGAGCCCCCTTCTCAAATTCATTCCATGCCTGCCCCTGCACTTTACCAGTACCCAGCTTGTGTTTCTGTGCTATTCCTGCTTTCACCATGCAAAGTCAGGCCAGAGTTCTACCTGGTGCCTTAACTTACTTCCAAACTGGAAGGCCTTGTCTTCATCAGCTCATCCCATAGTCGGCGCCAAATGGCCTGAGTGGAGAGGCCTGTAGAGAGAAACATCCCATTTACTTGGCTGCTCCTTGGTCTCCATGACTGAAGTACATCAGCCTTTTAATGTCCTTTTCTAGGTTCACAGGAGCAATATGGCAGACAGGTAAAGAGCACTGGCTCTAAAGACAGACTGTTTGGGTTTAAATATCAGCAAACCATAGTCTAGCTGTGTGACCTTGAGCAAGTTACTTAATTTTTCTGTATCTCAGTTTCATTATCTACAAAATGCAGTTAATAATGATTTTGCAGAATTGATGAAAATATTAAATAAGTTTCTCCAGATAGACAGCCTAAGACAGTGCTTGAGACAAGGATGAATGATAGCTGTTAACATGTATTCAATGAGGAGCTTAGGAGGTAGTCTGATAAAACAGAAAAACTAAAATTTCAAAAGATCTGGGCTCGGGAATTCCCTGGCAGTCCAGTGGTTAGGACTTGGTGCTTTCACTGCCAGGGCCTGAGTTCAATCTCTTGTTGAGAAACTAAGATCCCTCAAGCCATGAGGCAAGACCAAAAAAGCCCAAAACAAAAGATCTGTGTTCTACCTGGCTTTGCTCTTAATTGTGGTGTGCCTGTGGTTTCATTTTTATTAGTATAATGGGGATCAGATACTTGTTTTGTGTTTCACAGGACATTGAGAAATTAGATAGGAAAATAAATGTGAGGGTACTTTTTGAAAAGCATGAAATTCTATGCAGGTATCAAGTGTCATATTTACCTGAAGAACATTATGGTGCCTTGCTTACAATCACTGAGAAAGAGACAGAAAAACACTCACCTTTCTTGAGGGCAGTTTCCTCAATCCTCTCCAAGTAATATATATTGAGCAGAGGTAAGATGCTTTGAAGTATTGGGCCTGGGAGGGCTACAAAAACCAAACACAAAATTTACTTTTTTCTCCCAGGGTTGCAAGCATTATTTATTCTATTGGAAAGGAAAACAGAAAGACAGACTTCTCATTTGACAAGTAGAACCTTTAGAAGCTAACCTAAGTCTAATTCAAACTCTGGTCCACGTATCTTCAGACACTTAGTTCACAGCGGGAATTTCAGAGGCATGCACATCTTCAAGGGTGAGATAATCCCACAAAGCAAGCAGATGGGCTCATTTAGGAGCTGGCAGTTCACTTCTGCCCAAGCATAATCTGCCCAAGCATAATGAACCATTCTGCATTTAAAAGGTCCTATTGAATATGTGTGATTAAAAAAAGTCCTTTATAATCTGAGCCCTACTAACTTCTCCAGCTCCCTGCTTTGCCCCCTATACTTCAGTCATACTAAACTACCTTTTTTCATTTATCTACCTCCCTGCTTTCTGCCTTTGTTATGCTGTTCTCTCCACCAGGAATGTTCTTGCCATTTTCAGCATATCAACTACTCATCTTTCATGTATCACATGCCCTTTACTAAGCCTTTCCTGAATTCCCTTCTCACTCTTCCAGACTGGCCACTTCCATCCTTTGGGCTCCCATTGTACCCTGAACTAGCACTTTCCTATGAAGAATAGAAATAATTAGGTTCTGTATTCTTAATTCAATATATCTTAAAAACAAAACTCGCTCCTGCTAACTTCCCTAGATCTGAGAGGCATTACAATATTGTGGCTAAATGGTATAGTCTCTAGAGTTGGACAAAACTGGGTGAAATCCTGATTGCATCACTTAGTTAATTATGAATTCATGGACAAATTAATGTCTTTGAGCCTCAATTTCCTTAATTTTAAAATGGAGATAATAACAACTACCTCTTAAGATGGTTGTGAAAATTAAAGACCATACTTGTAGACTTGAAGAGACCAGACTTGAAGACTGTACCTGGCCATAATTTCACTAAACTTTAGCTATTATTATTCCTATTCTGTCAAAAGTTTCTCTGTCCTGCCAAGAAAAAGTTTCAAGATCTTGATACCTAAGGAAATTCTTTTAAAACTTACATTCCAGGATCTTTTATCCTTACTTGTGCAGTAACTGAATCCTGATATCCAGCTTAGTATAATTCTTTGTACATAGTAGGTACTCAATGTACCCTCTGAAGAAAAGCATTAATTCTGTATGCTAATATACTAATGAAATCTTTCTACTGCATTCAAGATAAAGTGCAAGTTCCATATACTGGCATTCAAGGTATAACATACCTATTCTATTCCTCATTATATCCTTTCCTGCTGTCTCTACTCATTTTCGCCTTCTCTCTCCCTACACAAAGAAATGCTAGTGCACTACTTCCAGGAAGGCTTTCTTGGCTGTTAGCCCACACTGAGACCTTGCTCCAAAATAGCACTGCTAGCAGGCCTCTTACTTCACCCTTCTAAGAGGCCTAACTTGATTCAGCTGTTTCTGTGTGACTGTCCACCTGGGCAAGGCCCATGGGAGCTCTTCCTCCTCTGTGCCTCCAATATGCTTCTCTGCATAGCCATCCTCTTTCACAGAGATTCTCATCCCTATTATTCACAAACTCTTCTCTACCTTTCCTCATCTTCTTAAGCCAGGCTCTTCCTTACTTCTTTCTGTGTGTGTATGTCAGTTGTGTCCGACTCTGCAACCCCATGGACTGTAGCCCACCAAGGTCCTCTGTCCACAGAATTTTCCAGACAAGAATACTGGAGTGGGTTGCCATTTCCTCCACCAGGGGATCTACCCGACCCAGAGATCGAACCTGAGTCTCTTGCTTCTTTCTAGCTCATATCTTTAATGCTTTACTGTCCCAACTTGGGAACTTCACCCTCAGTCCTAGTCCCTCTTAGGTTTAGCATTCTAGAAGCTCTGGGCTGACACAGCCAGATCCACTGTATCTTCTTCCAAATTCCCCAGGACTTTTCTGAGTCTCCTGCCCAGCTCCACTGGGACTTTTCTCCCATTCCTCCGGTCAGCCTGACCCTATTCTTTTTAGTTGTTGGTCCAGGGCCCCCACAATCCTCTCCTCCCCACCAGGCCTGAGGACTGCTAACAGTCTTCCCTCACCAGACAAGACATTTGGGCTTCTTTAGGAAGGGTGCCCCACCCCCACTTCACCAAAGGCCTTCCTACATCCTTGAACCTCCTTAACCACTCCACAGCTTTAGGGCTTATTTCTGAAGGTCCAGCTCCCCAAACTTCAGGGTCTTTTCTCCACATCGGCCTCTTCAGGGTGTAATCCAAATCCCCCATCCCAGGAATGAGCCCTGACTCCTGACCTTATGGGAGCCCTTCCTCAGGCCTTCCTCCAGGCAAAGACACCACCACACCCCCTGAGGCCTACAGTAGACCCTCTCACCGCCAGGGCCTAGGGCCTCCTCTCTTGCCATCCCCTCCCCCGTCCCGGGGCCTTCGGCTCGGCCTGGCCTGGCCTGGCCTGGGATCTCCTCACCCAACTTCAGCCCAGGCCTCCGGCCCCACCCCCTCGCACCAGCAGTCTGTCAGGCCCAAGGCCTCCTCGGCCCAGGCAGGCAGGCCTACCCCAGAGCTCTCACTTTCCTCTCTTTCACACTCACTATCGGTGCCCAGGTCGTCCACCCGCATTTTCCTCCGCAGATGCCTGGATGCTACCAGCAGTAAGCCACCCCAAGGCCCGGCCTCCTCGCGCCCATCCGCCTGCAGGCCTCCCTCCTCCGTTACTCGGCTTGCCCCGCCGCCGCTGTACTGCCAGGCCCCCCAGACAGTTGACTCACCGTCCCAGGCCCTCATCCCAGTGCCCCCGGCCACCCGCCTCTGCTACTCACCCTAGGCGCCCTCAACCCAGGCCGGGCCTCGCGGTCCCGGCCGCTCTCAGGCCCCGGGCCTTCTTTCACTCCACCCGGACCCAGGCCTTCAAGCGGCGCCGCGCCCCCTCCCAGTTCGGGTTCCCCAGGCCCTCGCCGCGCCTGGGGTTTCCGTGGCCCTTCCCGCCTGTCCGTCATTCGCGCCTCAGTCAATTGCCGACCCGCTCCGGGCCTCCCTTCACCCGCTCTCTGGCCCTTCCTCGCCGTTCCGGCCAATCCGAGCGGCCTCCGGCGCTCCGGGCCCTGCCCGTCAGTCAGTCGCTCGCTCAGTTTGGCACCCGACGCCCTGGCCGTCAGTCAGTTCGCTCCTTCCAGCCCCGGGCCGTCAGAAAGGCCTCGGCGCCCCGAGCCTTTCGGCCTCTCCCGCAGCCCCATCCCCTCACTCTCCAGTCCTCTGGCTGCCCTCGCCCAGCGGCTTGGCCTCCAGAGTCCCGGCCCCCACGGTCTGTCAGGCAGACAGCGGAGGCCGCGCGCCGTCAGTCTGGTTAGGTTGCCCCGGCCTGGCCTCCTGGCCTTAGGCCGGGCCTCCAGGCCTCGGCCCCCGCCCCCAAGTAGCAGTGCCATCCCTGCCCGTCCGTTCGGCATCCGAGATTCTGCAGCCCGACCCAGTCCGAGTGTCACTTCGGTGACCAAGGCCCGGCTAGTTAGTCCTGCCTCTTGTCGCCCGGGCTCTGCCCGCTTCACCCCAGACTGGGCCTCCTGGCCTCGCCCCCCGAGCCCCCCAGCCAGGCCGCGGTGCGGGTCCACCTGGCAGTTTGGTCTCCGTCTTTACTCTGGCCAGTCCTGCCAGTCACAGAATTCTTGCTCCGACCCGAAGGTCTGACTTCCAGTGTCCAGAGCTGGGCCTTGCCCCAGGCCTCCTGGCCTCGCCCCCCGCGCCCCCCGGCCGCCGGGCCGCCTCCGTTCGTTGCCAGTGGTAGCCCCTCATCCCGCGACTTACCCCACACCCCGCTTTCCAGAACCCCCATATGGGCGCTCACCGCCCGCCCGCACAGCTCGAACAGGGCGGGGGGAGCGCTGGGGCCCGAGGCCGAGCTCTTCGCTGGCGCCGCCTCCCGGGACGTGGCCTCCATGGTCGTTGCTGCCGCTACCTCACAGAACCAGCAACTCCGGGCGCGCCAGGCCTCGGGCGCCGCCATCTTGGGGAGGTGCGCGAGTCCGTGAGTAGCGGTCTCGGGCCGCCATCTTGAAAAGGTCAGCAGTTAGGACGGTTCCATCGACGATGTGGGGAAGACTGGGAACTGCGCTAAAAGAATATCAAGTATTTATGCATACTTCCCAAGTTTCTTAGAAATCAATAACTCAAATATTCTCAAAGGTCAACATATTTGGGCCTCGTATGGCTAAGGGGATATTCCTTAGCAAATCCTTCTCTGGTGCAAATACCAGCTCTCCCTGCCCCCTGCCTCTGGACTGTAGTACATGCCAATCGGAGCGTGTGTTCGCCACTACGACTAGTCTGCCGCACTTCCGGCCAGATCGCCGGATATCCGCTGAGTGACCCTTACAAGTCCTTTTTGATCCTCAAGTGGAATAGGTGCCGCTGTTGCTGCTTGTGTTGAGTCCAGAACCGCAGCCGGACATGGGGCTAGAGGACGAACAAAGGATGCTGACCGGGTCCGGAGATCCCAAGGAGGTAAGACTCTCGGGCGACTCGACCTCCTTTCACAGCACTGAGGCTCAGGACCTGACCCGCCAAAGCACGGGACCCTCTGGGCCCCGTTTCCTAGTAGAGTTTGCAGGGCTGGGAGAGCTGGTTCCCCGTACCTTTCCCCAGAGTTCGTCGGGTGACCTTGGGCAAGTAGATGAGTAGGCTTTCTCTGGGCTTCGGCTTTCCCATTCTGTGAATGAGATGAAGGTTTAACGAGAACAAAAATGTTTTGTGGACTAAAGTTTTGTAAAAATGAGGCCTGCTTATGTTTTTAGTCAATCAGCTGTTCAGAGCCTCTAGTTTGACGAATTTGGGGAGCAAGCTGCCTCAGCTCGGGTCAGGGATCCTGGTATATTTCCGGGCATCAGGCCTTAGGCTAGTTTCTGTGAAAACGTGATTTCGTTTTCCTTGGATGGGGGGAAGGGAAAAGTGTCTTTGGGGACAGTGTGGGTATGTGCGGAATAATTCTGTGATGAGAGAGGGAGCTCTTTCTCAGACTGAGAATGCCAGTTTAATACTAATCATTTATTGGCTTCTTATGATTCCAAGTGCTTTATATGTACTAATTCATTTAAGCCACATAATAGCCCTGTGAGGTATTAGGTAGTCATAGTATTGCCATTTTACATGAGGAAACAAGCATAGAGAGGTTAAATATCTAATCTGAAGACACACAGCTAATAAATCACGGAGCCAGGAATTGAACTCAAACAGCGTGATTCCAGACAAGGCTTAGCCACAATGTTACATGGTTTTACAGAAGCCAGCTAGTTTTGTTTCCCATCTCATTTCCTATCTTTTGTTCTTTGGTCACTTCCCTGCAGTTGTTCTGGGTTTATGGGTTAAGAATAATTGTGAACTAGTTTATCCCATAATTTTTTCTAGTCTTATTTTCAGAAAAAGGACAAAAAAGAAATGGAGCTAGTCTCAGGAGGTTCAACTGGAAGTATACCAGAAAGTTCAGTAGGGCTCATCACAGCAGTAGATGAGAAAACAAAGTAAACAAGTAGTCAGTTTTATAATGAAAAAATCTGAGGTTTGTTATGAAGAACTTATACATACATCTTACAGGTTGAATCTTTTTATTTAGTGTGACCTTGGTTTTTATCATTGATATGAAGTTTACCTGAAGTAGTCCATATTCAGACTTGTATTTGGATTTGTTTTCTCAAAGTATACCATGATACTTTTGACACAAAGTTATCAAAAATGATCAATAAAATAATCAGTGTAGTAACACTGCTAATAGGGAAAGGATATAAAGGTCTTGCTTCTAGGATGTTGATTTCTGGTTTCTAACTCAGGCAGAATGGGATTTCAGTTTTTTTGAATAACTGTTTTCAGGATGAATTTTTTTTTTAAGAGCAAGGTTAAGAAATATTGTTTAATGGAAAACTAGACTTGTACATCCTAAGTAATAACTTCACATTTAGAAAACACCTTTGTTAATTTGAGAATAAGCAGCCTGGATTACAGTGAAACCTGCCCTGTCCCTCACTCCCAGTTTTCATAAGCTTTGGTCCCTTCCCTAAAGATCATGGTAGAGAATGGGGCAGATTGTACAAAGTTTTGAAAACACAGGGATTGTTGAAGTTTTTTTTTTTTTTTCTCTATATATACCTTTTCTTTCCCTTCCTGCAAACGTGGACATGTACATGCACCAGCGGGCAAATGCTTTACTTTTGACAGGTTGAGTTACTGATCAGGCACTACTGTGCCACAGATTCAAGACTGCTCTTCCTCTCAAAGATATTTTTTTTTTCCCCATACCCCTTGGAAGAAAAGAAACTGAGGTTGAAATAATAGGTAGGGCCTGATGTTTTTAAGCTTGTGAGTGGAATTGTGTAGAGCTTTGGTGCACTTATATATTGATAGTGTACTTAGAGTCCTGAAAGTTAAGCAAGCCAAAAAGCAGTGACAGAAATTATCTTTAAATTCTGGCTAAAGGAGAGTTTAGGTTTGGCTATTTTCATTTACCCAATTCAAATTCAGAACATAGGAAAAAATGTTAGCTTTCTACCTAACTTGGTTTGGGAATGTCAGGATTAAATTTAGCTATTTCTGGTACTACTGGTATGTCTCAGAATTTAGAAGAAAATATATTTAAGTTGAGGACTTTCCTGTAGCTCAGATGGTAAAGAATCTGCCTGCAATGCAAGAGATCCGGGTTCAATCCCTGGGTCAGGAAGATCCCCTGGAGAAGGAAATGGCAACCCACTCCACTGTTCTTGCCTGGAGAATTCCCTGGACAGAGGAGCCAGCAGGCTATAGTCCATGGGATCGCAGAGTTGAACACGACTAAGCAGCTAACACACATACACATGCTGATTCCATATGAACAGTTGACAACTTGAATGACTGATTAATTTGGTTGCATTGGGTCTTAGTTGCTGCACTATGGGATAGTCATTGCATGTGTGTTCCCGAGCACGCAGGTGCAGTAGTTGCAGCAGGTGGGCTTGGTTGACCTTGAGCCATGTGGGATCTTATTTCCTCAATCAGGGGGTGAACCTGGATCCCTTGCATTACAAGGTGTGTTCTTAACCACTGGACCACCAGGGAAGTCCCTGAATCTTTTTTTTTCCCCTATAATTAAAACGTTTAATGAGCATAAATATATGACAGACATTATAGATACAGTTAGGTATTACATATAGCATAGTATTTGCAAAATCTATACATTAAAATTGATATGGCAATTTTACTGTGACAGCTGGACTCTATATCAGAAAATGTTTGATTAGTGCTTGTTATTACTAAACTGGGAGCCCCTTAAGGGTCTATTATAATTAATCAAATCATTACAGATACGAAGTGCATAAACTTTTAGAGCATTGTACACACAAGTTTGTTGCTAATGAACATGAGATTCTGTGTTCTTGTTTAAATATACTCAGGACTTGTTTTTTTTTCCATTTATTTTTATTATTTGGAGGCTAATTACTTTACAGTTTTGTAGTGGTTTTTGTCATACATTGACATGAATCAGCCATTCAGGACTTGTTTTAATCAGGTAGGGTAAGGTTACAAGCATGGAGACAACTTTTTTTTTTAAATTTAGACTACTTTATAATTTATTTTAAAATTATTTAAATTGAATAACCTGTAAAGTTATTTATATCAGTGACCCTGTCTAGTATGATGTCTATTACCCTTCTTCAAAGAATAACCAAGATAGGACAGCTGTTTTTCAATGAAGTTTATTACTATAGTTCCTGACTATATATAGTTATATATAGCGACTGGACTGACTGACTATAGTTCCCAAGAGAAGAGGGCAGGCCATACCACCCAGGGCCACATGGGGAGGTGCCAGAACCAATCAGGAGCAGAAGAAGGACTAGGTGAGGCAGGATAGGCATGTTCTGGCAAGTTTTGTTGTTGTTCAGTCACTCAGTCGTGTCCGACTCTTTGCAACCCCTTGGACTGCAGTATGCCAGGCTTCCTTGTTCTTCACCGTCTTCCCGAGCTTGCTCAAACTCATATCCATTGAGTTGGTGATGCCATCTTGTCCTCTGTCGTCCCTTTCTCTTGCCTTCAATCTTTCCCAGTATCAGGGTCTTTTCCGATGGGTCGCTTCTTCCCATCAGGTGCCCAAAGTATTGGAACATCAGCTTTAGCATCAGCCCTTCCAATGAATATTCAGGCTTGATTTCCTTTAGGATTGACTGGTTTGATCTCCTTGCAGTCTGTTTCCTTGCAGTCCAAGGGACTCTAAACAACAGTTTCTCCAACACCACAGTTCAAAAGCAACAATTCTTTGGCTCTCAGCCTTCCTTATGGTCTAACTCTCACATCCATACATGACTGTTGGAAAAACTATAGCTTTGACTATATGGCAAATTAAGATCTCTGCTTTTTAATGCGCTGTCTAGGTTTGTCATAGCTTTTCTTCCAAAGAGTAAGCGTCTTTTAATTTCATGGCTGCAGTCACCATCTTCATTGCTTTTGGAGCCCAGGAAAATAAAATCTGTCACTGGTTCCATTGTTTCCCCATCTATTTGCCATGAAGTGATGGGACTGGATGCCATGATCTTCCGTTTTTGAATGCTGAGTTTTAAGCCAGCTTTCTCTCTCTCCTCTTTCACCTTCCTCAAGAGGCTTTTTAGTTCCTCTTCACTTTCTGCCATAAGGGTGGTGTCATTTGCATATCTGAGGTTATTGATATTTCTCCTCGTAGTCTTGATTCCAGCTTGCGCTTCATCCAGCCTGGCATTTTGTATAGTGTATGCTGCATATAAGTTAAATAAGCAGAGTGACAATATCCAGCCTTGACATACTGGCAAGTTTAAGCCTGGATAATTTAATAGGCTGTCGACTTTGGGCTAGTCTCTTTTTGTTTGGTACTTACCCTGATGTGATTAGTACAGGGGCAATAATTGGTTTAGTGTAGGAAAGTTATATAAAGGTAGATGGTAAGAAGGGTTTTGGATTGGTTTCTTTGAAATGTGTGCCCCCTGGCAAGTTGTTTGCCAACTCTAGAAATTA